TGTGTTAAACTAGTTGACAAACATACCAACTAATTTGCAACTATTTGAATGCTTTTTTTTTTGTATTTAGGTCAGCTATCAAGTTAAATGCAAAAGTTTATATCGCTTAAGATAAAAGATGTGATGAGCAGGTTGCTCTATTTTCTAATTTACTAAATTGAAAGTATTTTAAAATGGCCATTAGACTTTGGCAATATATCAGACTGGTATTCTGAAAAATCACTTTCACTTCTTGAGACAATTTCTGTTTGAGTAACAACACATTGATCTCCTTTGTTATCTCCTTAATGATCAACTTAAAGCAGATACTCTTTGCAATTAAAGACACATGCTTTGACACTCTTAGCCATAATATATGGTGAATATAAAGCCAATAAAATGGACACTAATGATATTTCATTTAAATGAGAAGTTGAGGTTAAACTTACTTACACAATTAGATATCACGTCAAGATTAATAGTTTAAAAAAGAAAAAGAAATGGATGGATGCACACTAAGAGGGAAATGAACCACACAAGGTGATCTGAGCATCTCTGTCAGTGAATATGATGTAAAAGAAATACTAAGGTTAGGTACAGGTAAACCATGGAAACGTGGAGACTTGCTCACACAACAAGGATCAAACATCAAACCTCTCCTCACCGTTCGTAGGTGCTTCCTGAGGATGTACATGATGAAGCCCCATAATCTCGACGTTACGCCGAGAAAAGTGCGGATGCCAAGTAAACATTGCCGGGTCTTCAGCATGTTGATGAGCCCGCAAAGACCCCACAGCAACCCAACTTCAATTATCTCTTAGTAGCACGCTTTAGCCCCAAGTGTTTGGCTCACTTACTGAGGGAACTTGCTTGCTAGTGATGTTTTAAAATCAGTCTTTAGCCACAGCCGCCAAACTAGCAATTCAAATGAACCACAGGCCAAGCAAACGTGTGAGTACCTCGCTCTGCACACTTGTGGCACAATTAGCATTAAGTTAAGTTCATTCGCATTGTAGCTACAAAAGATAAATGTGGACGTGGTCAAAAAGGAAAGCTGCTGCACGACGTGCTGCTGCTGTGTGGACCTTAGCACGCAGCTCGTTGACAAGCTAGCTCATGAGCTAGCTGTGCACCGACTAACGTTAGCTAGTAGCAACCGAGCTACCGCTAGCCGCTCGACAGGGTGACCACCTTGAACCTTAGGACAAAAATACCCCCCAAAAAAACTGTGGGTACGCCGCTTGTCAGGCACCGGTTCAATGTGACTTCGTTCTGTGCGGCGTAAAAAGAGAGGCGGCTTTACAAAAGTTCCTCAAAGTCCAACCGGCCCCGGTTAAATTCAGTTTGTAGTCCAGTGGAAATCCGGAATGGAACTGCGAGCCGCCATCGCCGCTTTGCCGTCACTTCCGGGAGGAGTCTGTGGGGCGCGCGCAGCACGTCCACGTGGATGGAAAATAAACAGACGTGGACGAGCAGAAGAAGAAGAAGAAGACTGATTAGTTTGTTTGAATTAACTTTGTTCAATATTTATTCAGATACTTTCGTGGTGGTTGGGGCGCAGTTACATGCTCTAGGTTAAATATTTGAGTTGTGCTTTTGTTGGTGTCAATAAACCTTTTGATGCAGCTGTGGTGTTAAGTTGTAAAACAATACAATATGGAAACGTAAGCAGGTTGTGGTAAACTTGTTTTATTTGCACTGTATATTTTTAAAATAATTGGCCTTTTAAGGAATTAGTTAAACAAAAAACCCCCACACCACTTAAGCATGTGGTGTGGGCATGAAAGCAGCGGTGATGTATGGGTAATAGTATTATCAATCAATTAATCAATACATTTTTATTTAACAAGTGTTATCTCGAGAAACTTTACAAAAAGCAGGTAAAATACCTTACTTATTGCTATATTACAAAGATCCGGCCTATCCATTATGAGCACTTTAGCAAAGCGGCAAATAAGCTCATATTGTTTTACTGCTGACTGACCCACTTTTCCCAAAGTCACCAGGAATATAACATAAAAATATATAATATCGACTTCATTGTTATCAATAGCCTCTTTTAAAATCAATACGTTATTTGTGTCCTTGCCTTTATACATTTTATTTGATTTTTCCCAATAACTGTCAATTCAGTTAAGTGTTACACATGGGCGGTTCTAGGCAGGGGCCGACAGGGGCCAGTGTTCCTGTAACAGTGAGCTTGGTCCCCCCTGTGGCCACCCCTCCAAAAGGAAGAGCCCCCTCATAATACATACACAGTATTTGACTCAACAACCGGACTCACAATCTAGTATTAAATACTCTTACTGAAACAAATTTAAATCATGGTATTTTATGTTGTGGTATTTAATGATGTGTGGTATTATTTGGCATAATATTTATGTTTTAAAGTGATCATCTTTGTCTATTTTTCACCTGGGTTTAATGCTCCCCTCTGACAAAACAACTGGCCCCAGTTTGGCCCCCTCAGTAAAAGTGGTCTAGAACCACCACTGGTGTTACAGCATGCGTTTCATAGGTTAAAAAATGTGTTTATTGTATTTCCTGTGAATTTAAAAACATCACTATATAATGGCTTCACAATACAATAACTGCAACAAAAAAAAACATCTTTCAAAATCAAAAAGTATGCTATTACTGCATATTCATACATGTAAAACATCACAAATTTGTCAATTAAAAAAACACAAAGCAAAGAGTGGATTATAGCGTATACATTTATTCAATAAGATACAAAAACAGATATATCTTGGCTGCTCAAAGAAATAATGAAAACCCTCTTTATAGTAAACATGATACAGATTTCTTACAGATATCATTCTGTATTTTTAAAGCTCTATAAGGTGGGGTTAAGGCTTTGAATCTTGGAGTCCAGAATTGGAAGGACATTAAAATATCCAGTGGATTTTATAACAAAATGCTACACATCAAGATCATCATCAGGGTCCTCCTGATCATAGTCGTCGTTGGAATCCGGCTCGTAAAGAATCCTTCCAGAACCTGGCCCGGAGTGGAGCAGAGCAGTTTTCCTGTGAGAGAAAAAGGTTACACCATTAAAGGTGTTTGTAAAAGAGAAACAACAAAAAAAAATATATAAAAAGTGTGGAAAAGTTTCTCACTTCTCTTTGCTGAAGACAAAGGGAAGTGCAAGTTTCTCCTTGGCCTTGCGCTCAGTATCTGACAGTCGAAGATTGAAGGTCAAGTTTGCTGTTGGATCCACCTATGGAAACACAAAAAAAAAAGACTATTTTCAGTCCTGCAAGTCTAATAATAATAATGATATTGGTCAGATTATGGTGCAGCTCTATTCATTTGGGTTATATTGCACCTCCTTTTCCTCTGTGGGAGTGTTTTTAGGTCCGAGCTTGCTCTGTACTATGACTGTAAAATCCTCATTGATGTTAAAAATCTCCTCCTATGGACAAAAACAAAACAAAGTCATCAATCCTTAAAACAGTGCAGGCAGCACAGAACAGCAATCTTAACATAAAAATCTGCGTACATCTTGCATAACTTTCCCAGATTTTGAGCGCTTGGTTATCTTAGCCACTGCCTGGTCTCCATTCATCCCAGGTGCTATGGTGATGACTGAAGTAGCTAAGTGGCATACACTTCCCTCAGTCCCCTTCTGATGCATATCAGCATGGAGCAGAGCGATAATGGCTCTTACAGCTCCCCCTAATGAAAACAAAGAAAAGAGCCTCCTCAGTAAAATTACTGCAAAGGTTTAAAATTCTACCTCACTCTTAAATAAGACTGCCAAATGATTTAAGTTACGTGTCGGTAACATTTGCTTGTCAAGATGTCAAATCAGAATGATTGATTTTTTATCACCTTTCCTAAGTTGGTGAAGAGTCTTGCAGACAGCAGTCGGGCTGCGGTGTCTCAAGATCCATGAAAGAGAATCGATCACTAAGGTAGCAGGTCTTGAGTGTGATGATTGCTTAACCAGATGTGTAAGTTCCTCCAAACAGAACTGGTGAACTGTAAAAGCGGGGTGATCAGTCCAGCCAAGGGGGTCTGTGTAAGCATTGTGAAAGTGTACCCTGAAGTGACAGAAACAGAAGAGTACATTGGTTTGTGTGTATGGTTATGATCTGACTATACAAAGAAGCTAAATGACTTCAACCAATGTTTGAAGACCTTTTGCTCTTTGTTTTGGACATTGTTTCCGCACTAGTAGTTACCTATCAATGGCTGATCCTTTCACTCCATCCTTCAGCTCTTCCTCATCGACTTCAAAGCCAAGGACGTGGACAGCTTCCTCTCTGCACACACAACATAAATACAGGTAATGTTCTTATATTTGTTTCTTAACATATTCAAAAGGCATGGTTGAGAGCACGTACGTACATTACCAGTCGAAAAGACAAATTACTTTTAATACCTGTGTAATGCAGCATTGATGAAGCTCTTCAAGAGGTGTCGACCAGAACATCTAATGGAATCTACAAATGAAAAAAATAGATATCATGACTACAGTAAGCTGAACTGTGCTTCGTTTACAGGTGACATTTATTTTATAGCACTAAGATATAGTCGTTTTAAAGTATTTACCTTGAATAATGACAAACCCTCCAGCGTCAGCTCCTTGCAATAGTTCAGTCAACATGGTACTTCTATAGGTAGCTTTAGCTAGTTAGCATTACTTACTTCTGAGTTACAGCATATTCAAACGAATAAACCATAATAGAAACATGTACTTTAAACTGCAGAAGTATGACACCTCTCAAAGTACCGAATAGAGAGCACCTAATGTCACGTTAATATATATTTCACAGAACAAAAAGCTCTCTGCCTTATCCAGTGCAGCATGTTTCGGTAAATAGCGTGTTTGGGGGGGGTATACTACTGAAATTACTACATTTCCCATGATGCCAGAAAAGCTCAACGGAAGAAAAAAAAACTGCGTGGGGAATGTAGTTTCCGTGTTTGCCCCTCAGGGTGAGTGACGACTCGGTGAACTACGTTACCCAGCATGCCTCACGCGTAAGCACTGCGCTGGCTGCCTCAAGAGGTTTGTGCCGCGCACCGTGCGGAATAAAGTCAAAACTCCCGTCGTTTTTGTGCTGCACACAGCGAAGAAAACGAAGCCCACTGGAGAAGTTCCCCAGTATGGACTAACATGAGATAGCATTCGCGACATTGCTGAGGGAGTTTCTGCCATTTTTTTTTTTTGCCCCCTACACGAATGGTTATATAAATGTAGTGACGGAGAATAGGGGGCTTTTAAGTGCACCACGTTAAGCAACAGAGGAATTAGTATTTTTGCCAGGCTAATATCGTTGGTGTGGCGACAGCTCGGGCGGTAGGTAGGCAAACACATTACCCCCTAGTAAACGGATCTACTCGGACCTGAAAGTGGACTAACTAAAAGGACGAGTTGTTGGATCTCTGCTGCTGCTGATTTTAAAAAGTTGCCCGGCGGTGAGGTGCAGCCACGCCGGGGGGGTGGGGGGGGGAAAAAGGCACAGCGCGACGGCCGCTACTCTCCGGCTATAGCTCGCCTGCTGCTGCTTCTGTATCTGGACTCGAGGCCTTGTTGGTGTGGCGACAATGCTCGACATAATGTCCGAGCATCAAGGTAATGTTTCATGAGCAGAGTGTTTAAAGGAGCAGCTCCGGTGTTCATAAATGTTCCCTGTTGTTGTCCAAGATCACCAAGTTATGCATAACCTTAGTGTTGCGTATGCTGTATTAATAACACGACGTGCTCTTGACCAACTTCTGTTCTGCCTTTTAATATGTCAAAAAAAGTTATTTGAAACTGTTTTCTTCATGTGTTGCATGGTAAACATCGCTAATTTAATGTAAAGTAAGTGAAATTACCTCCCTGTTTAGTTAACGCGCGGATCCAGCCCAATACCTAACATTATCTCACAACCTTAAACTAAAAAACACCTGCGATGTGTCAGCTTCACCCACGTTTAAAACCTCACTCAGCCACATTATCTCCGTTTAATATAGACTTAAATGTGAACGCTGATCCAGGGTTGTTTGATGTAAAAACACTGCTAACGGGAAGCTAACTTTTTTTTTTTGTGCTAATCAGCCTCCCTCAGCTTCCATTTCAAAGACGGCTAGCGTGATTAGCTGGTTAGCACAAGTTCAGATCGCGATTAACCCGCTGTGTGTGCTTAGTTTAAGCGCGGATAAGATACGCAGTGAGCTATCTCAACGCACAGTGAGAACTGATGTCAATTCAAACCCGTTTTTTCGCCTTCTTTGTTTCTGTGAACGACATAGCGTGTTGTGTTAGCGTCTCCTCTAAATGTCAGCTAACATTAGCTGGTAGCATTCAGGCAACACAATATGACTAGTTTAGACCTTTGTATTCAAATAAAAGAGCTCTGTTGGCTACATTTTTTTGCAATGCGTAGTATTACTATTAACTTTAACACCAAACGACACGCGTTTATCAATACCTGAAGCTTATATATTCACATTTTGTTCTGAGTTCCGATGGTGACAAAGTGACACCGGTTGCGGTTGTTTGCAGACTTTAAAATATCCGACGACTTGACTTGCTTATTCCTCCGCTCAAATAGTTTAAATTTAACTGTCTGAACTCAACATGACTCAAATATAAGGCCACCATGCTCATTACATCAGGGATGGGCAACTTTGGTCACAGCAAGGAGCCACATTCATGTAATTCTCTCTGCCAGAGGGCCAAATTGTAGGATACAAAAACTATTATGTCTCAAATTTAACTCAACACATACCAGTGATCAAATATTATTATGGACATATTTCTGGTTTTCATGCTTTCATGGCAGATTTTGTCATGTTTTCTTCATGTTTCCAATTAATTGATGTGTAAAAATTGACCTGAGGGGGCCACGTTGAGGGTTGATGGGGGCCGCATGTTGCCCACCCCTGCTCATTACTAATAACTCAGATTAAGCCTTTGAGCAGTAAGATAGCAAGCTAACAACAGGTTTGATCCACATGTCCCATTACACCCCATATGCAACTGTGTGCTAATGAGGTTGAGGTCCTTGTAAAATGTCTAACTTTTGAATTATATGTTTGTTTTTTCTCCCAACAGATTCACTTTTGTCGTGTAAAACGGAACCTTTGGTAAGTTCTCGAAATGTTATATTGCATTAAACATTTTGGTCGTTAATCGATTAGCTCTTTTGTGTGGATCAGCTGCATTCGCTTAAACAGAAACCTTTTGTGCTATCTGTAGCCCCCTGAGAGGAAAAAGAGGACGGTTGAGGACTTCAACAAGTTCTGCAGCTTCGTCCTGGCATATGCCGGCTACATCCCCAGTTCAAAAGAGGTAAGCTGCAACAAATGACGCCATGGATTTTTAAGAAAGGACTGTTGGTGTCTGTTAAAAGGAAAAATATATCTCAATGTTGTTTTTTTTTTTGTTTGTTTTTTAAATGTCTTGTAGGAAAGTTCATGGTCCCCAACATCATCAAGTTCTGCACACAGTTCAGGGTTGTCAGCTGATGGAGGTGGTGGAGGAAGCTGCTCAACAGGCAACACTTGGGCAGATGGAAGCTCTGACATCCACACCATCCACACATTTGTCCGTAAAGCCCGGGCGAATAAGGGCAAAAACATCCGCCGTATGCACTCTGATAGCACTCTACTGGACAAGATGCGCCTTAAAGACTCCTTATACGAGAGCCAGGCAAGCAGTAAGGCAGAGCGGAAGAAGGACAAAAAACTTAAAAAGTTGTCGCTGGGTTCTGCCATGACAGCGGTAGATAGTGGCAGCAGCGAAGGCGAGAAAAGAGCACGCATTAAACGCAGCAAAAACTCAAAACAGCCCAAACCTAAGAAGCTCAAAAGTTCAACTGCTCAAAGCGAGACAGACTCTGAGGCACGGCACTCGCATGCAGAGGTACGACCTGGTAGAGACGAGCTGATGGGACACGGGGGCTCCAACTCAAGCGTGCGGGGGTTGGGGAAGATGCAGCCGGATGAGTCGATGAGGGAAGCAGACATGAGCTCCAGTGAGGGTGAGACATGGATCGCAGATGAAGACATCATGGTGGAGTCAGGTATGACTGCTTTTGTCCTTTTTAAAGTCATTTATTAAGAGGTCTCTGCAGCACACATTGACATTTTTATGACCAAATTCTTGGATTGTTTTGTGCACCGCCGGCAATTTATTATAATACACATCATTTCTTAACACTGTTTTCTATTCTATCCACACAGGGGATGATTCATGGGACTTGATCACCTGTTACTGTGGGAAGCCCTTCGCAGGACGACCGATGATCGAATGCAACCAGTGCGGCATATGGGTGCACTTATCATGCGCCAAGATCAAGAAATCCAACGTTCCAGACATCTTTTACTGCCACAAGTGCAGGGACACGAGGCGGTCGGGAAACAAAAAAGACACTTAGATATGAAGAGGATGGGAGGGACATTTCGCACTCCCCCAGTTTTTGCTGTCCTCCTGACACTTGTTTTCTTTGATGCCTACAGCCAAAACAGCCTAAATTATCACCTGGATGACGACTGTATTGTCACTTGTTAGGATTTCTTTTTGACAATCAACCATTCTTATTTATCCCTCACTTTCTTCTTACTTTTCTTTGGCTACAGAGAAGAACTGGACACAAGGCAGCAGTGGCGATGATTTCTTTTTAATAATAAATACCTTCAATAATTGGCTTTCTTGTCTTAGATTGTGCTGTTAAGGTGAATTCTGGCTCATTATTTCTTGAGGATAGCGACTAATCAGTTACTATTTTTTCTTTCTAGTGACTCAAGGAATTCCATTTTCAGTTTGACTTTAAATCAATGCAAGTTGTCAAAATATACAGTCGAAGAGCGGGAAAATGTCACTCCTGTTATTTGTTTAGAGGTTTGTCATGATGCTAGGTGGGCAGCTCGTCTGATTTCTATTGTATTTTTGTCTGAGTTTGCATTTTTCTTTTGGTCGTCAGTGATGATCACTGAACTTAAAATGTAGAGATACTCTAGAGTAAGTGATCTTTGAGTTTATCTAATCTGTCTAAATTGATTGTTAAGCATCTAAACTGCTGCATTTCAAATTGCACACAGACAATTCTTTGGGCAGTGCACTTTAAAAAAAAAAAAAAAAAGAAGAAAAAAAAAAACCCTATTACCATTCCCGGTGCGTTAACGGATGGTACTTCTCAGAAGTAGAGCTGCGGCTAATTAAATCTGAACTTGGTTAGCATGTCGCTGTATACTTTCATGATTGAGCGCTTAATGTTTCTGCCTGTCTGGCTTGTTTAATCAATCATTGATAGCCATTTTGTTTTTACCATGAACAACATTTACATTGTTTATTTTTGTTTCATGTGTTTTTTGTTTTCCATGTTCATCTTAAATGAGGGGGTAATGTTGCTGTAAGACTTGAGGTTCAGCAGTGCTTTACACGATCACAGTGGCTCTGAGGCTTGTTTATGAATGGTTGTACAAAAAAGTATTTGTTTTTCTGTTTCATGTAAACGTTTATTTCTTAGCTTTCTGAGAGGCGGGATTAGAGATGCGCCTGCATAAGAGAATGGACGTAAGATTGTCTCACCTTGAGAACAAAGTTTGTAGTGTACAGAAAAGAAGTTGAAACCGTGTAGGTTTGCGGCATTTGTTTATGTTGTTTGGTTTTACCATGTGCTTTTTTTTTTTTTTTTCTTTTTGTTGGTGGGAGTGTCGGTAAGTCTCCAGTAGCAGTTGCACTCTCTCTATGACTTTAATTCTGTGTACATATCTTGTTCTTTGACAACTGTACATATGTGAAAGTGAAGAGAGAAAATACCCGAGCAAAATCTATATTTTCTGCAGTCTGATATTGTTTTCTTTAACTGTAGCTTGAAAAATAAAAGTCTTTGGGAACATAACAAGTGTAGATAGACCCAATTAATTTTGTAGAAAGAAAAAAAACAACAACCCACAAACATTTATTTTGTAACCTTTATTGAAAACTTTGCACACAGCAAGTGCTTGTCATGTTTATCTTCCACCACTAGAGGGAGTTGGTCAACAGGCATCTCACTTGTTAGCGGCAGTGAGTTAAATATGAGTTCATGAATAAATATAATGAACATGAAACAAGGATTAACACTGAGGAAATGTGTAGTATTCAGTTGTTGTCTTGTTATCTATTCTCTGAATTCTTCCCAGTCTACGTCCGGTTCATCCTGGAACAACAAAAACACAAATGCTCAGTTTTTCATTTGTCACCATAACTACTTAGCCTTTAGTTCTCATTCACACTGTACTGTTACACTACTCTTTTAGAGCGATATGTTTAGATTATAATAATTGATTTGCTTAGGAACAGGTTTTAGAAGGGTACATTTCTCCAAGAAATGTTTAAACAGTGTTAATCAGCACTTCAAAGTGGCAGTATAGCCTCTAATTTAGCTTAATCAGCAGTTTTCACACAAGATTTCCTCTTAAAGCTCACCTTTCGGTTTCGGGAACTGGACATTTGAAAGCTGCCAATGGAGTCCAGTGGAGCAACCTTCCTCCTGCAGACAAGGCGAAGGGGGAAAGAAACCAGGCGTCATTTGGACGAAGGGTTACTTTTGATGCAGTATGCACACTTCTCCATCACACTGTATTAACTTTGGATCACACATTTCATCATTAGAATCAAAAATGTAAACTTTGTATTTCATTTTTGAACTCAAAAGCAACAACATAAACATCTTAAAAATAAGAAGAACAGATTTTAACTTGAATAACACGTCTGTTATTAAATTTGTTTTTTTTTTTTTTACATACTTCATAAATCCCTTAGACCAACATCCATATTGTGACTCGTACCGGGACTTGAACTGGTGACCATACGGTTCCCAACCTAAGTCCCTACAGACTCATCCACTGCTGCCTCCATGTGCTTTCAGATCTACTTGACACAAGCTTTCCATCATCCGGGCCTCACCTCTTTTCATTTGCCTTGCGGTTGTACTGGTATTGGTGGATCTGACGCTGGGTAAAGTTTTCTGTTGGGGCCACGAAAGTCTCTGACCGAGACTTATGGACGTCCAAATCCCTGCTCATTTCCCCAGCATCACCCACAGAGAGGTCTCCCTCGTCTGAGCGATGAGGCAGGCGAGGGAACAGGTCATGGTCCAGCCAGTTCACTTCCTGATAAGGATAATCCGATTGTAAAACGTCGGACGCGCACAAAATGCTTAAAATACCTGCAGAGGATCTTTTCAGTGAGTTGAAAGGATGTATAGATGCCTACCCTTTTGTTTCTGCTTGGCAAAGCAGCAGCAGAAATTTCCTCCAGCAAAACATAAAGAGTCAGGAAAGGTAGCACACATCTGGATGAAAGCATCTGCAAAGAAAAGAAGGGTCAGTGAAAGCAACACAAGACAGTATAGATTATAGACATACACCATGCTTACCTTGAATCTTTTTCTGTTTTACAGGCCGGTTCAAAGGTTGGACCTCTTCTGATCTGTTGACCACTGTGCAGGGTAGTATATGTACCCATGCATATAGGGTGGGTTTATATCATGGGCTGGTACCAGGGGCTGTTTAGGCTAAGTGTGTTTGGGGGTGTGTGTGTGTGTTTTTGTGTGTGGGAGCATTTGTGGTCTCAGACATGCCAATTACATCTTCTGCCCTGTCTCCACACACACACACACACACACACACACACACACACACACACTACACGTACACATACACCCCCCCCCCCCCCATTCTCTTTGCCGCCCGATTTGAGGAGAATTGGAAGTGAGATAAGGTCATTGTTGTTGTAGCTTCTGTTTACAGGCTTGCATTGGGGTGGTGCTGTACATGATTTGCAGGAAGCTGCCCCCATGACCATGTCTTTAATATCTTCTTATATGAGTTATAGGAAGTTTGACAATTTGGCTCGACAATGTTGCTCATGTCATTATTTGAAAAGAAACATTGGTTGTCTGTGGAAACGCAAGCAAGTTCAGGGTTTACCGTATCAAACTGTACTGACCCAAACCAGAGTGCTTGGTGGAAACGGGGCTTTTGGTACGGTACGGTAACACTTTATTGTCCCCTCTGGGCAATTTGTCTTGGACTCAAAGTGCCAAACATTCAGCTGCTTCCACTAGAATCAATAAATAAAAACAATACAAAAACACATCCACATGTATTCAGAACGCAGGCGCATACCAATGCAAAACAAAACAAAACAACATACAGTATATTGTACATTACCCATATTGCACAAGAGCTGCAAAACCACAGCATGAGAGACAAGGTAGCAAAGGTTAGAAAATATACAAACATCACCATGATGCTGTTGCACAACCCACACATCACAGCTTTTAAACATTCTTGCCTCTCCTCAAACTATTTTTACTATCTGCCAGTGCTTTCAAAAAGATGCAACTTTTTCCTTTTATTTTGCATCATTCAGCTGATGGCTCATCTTTTTCTGAAAACATGCAATAACATTTTTACTGACGTAGTAGATCTTTTCCAAACTTTGAGATAAAATAGATATTATTAACAACCTAATGAAACATTAAACTCAAAAGAACGTGACCATTTGACATTTATGTTTCATTAATCATTCAAAATGGACTGAGACACTGAATTCAATTGCTGGATGAGTTATGACAATAATCGTTCTCTCACTAACTGAGTGTGTTTTGACAGATGGAAGTGCAGAGACAGAGGGATCGCAGATAGTATCAGAAACCCAGTGTGTGTGGTAATCTGAGAAACTTGATCACTCTGCTTCGCCCTACTACACCCACAGATTGCCATCCAATCCAGACCACACACAGCAGTCTCCACTTCACTCCTCCACCCTGCCGGCCTGCTGCTGAAATAAAACAGAGCGGAGACAGTGTAGCAGGGATGGATGGAGAGATTGGCAGAGGATGGGGTGGGCAGGGGGTCTGATCTGAGAGTATGCACATTCAGACACGTTTTCACTTTTCCTCCTTTCCCGCCCTGTCCTAATTATTTCTATTCTGGGACTTTGAGGCCCACCAAACAGAGCTGCTGATAGATCAGACGTGTATAAATAAACCAAGGCAAGGGTGGCTTTATGTGAGCAGAGACAGAGGCCAGATAGGCTGCACTGATTAGCTTCATTATCAGAGACAGGCCTCATTAGGAGCCTCGGCTGGGCGCGTGTTTGTTTGTGTGTGTGTGTGTGTGTGTGTGTGTGTGTGTGTTTCGTCTTACTGTAATACACATAATTTATATCATACTTTGAAATGGTCATTTTGTATTTAGTTAGGATTAAGTTCAGAGTTCTGGCTACAGTATTAGGTTCAGGTTTAAGAAAAAGGTTATGTGAATCCCAGTTTGAGAAAAAGATTACTCAAAGTGTCATTAAAATGATATTATGTAGAAAGTGGAGGGTATGTGAAGTAGAATTTCTTGGCAATAAAATGTCCCTTAAGTAGTTGAGTTTGTGATGTGTTTTCAAACTGTATTAAATTGTGTATTACATTTACTGAACGATAAAGTATGCTCTTTAAACATTCATCCCAGGTCTCATCTATTAGCCCCTCATGTCGAATGTGATAACCTTAACTCTGCTGTAGGACCTGATAAAATCGAGTAGGAACCCCAGGTTTAACAGGATCAAATGCATTTATTTCATCCATAGACTCATGTTTGATCAGGATTTCAAAGTTAGGCAAATGCTTGTTAGTATAGTTTTTTGACATGACAATATCGTCCATTGATTGTGTTGTAAATCTCAGATTTTATATTACTGTCTGTTTCAAATAGGCCTAACCAATTAAACATTCTTACAGCTTTCATGAAAGTTTGTGCTTTAAAAATACTAGTAGCTTTCTTGTCGAAATATTTATTAAAAACAGCAACACTCAGGGTTGAGTAAATAGTTAGCTTAGCCTAGCCTAGCATAAATAGTGGAAACAGGTGAAAATGTTTAGCCCTGCTCTCTCCAAAGATAACAAACCTCCTTCTATCATGTCTTAAGCACAAGAAGTAACATGTGTTTCATATTTAATTGAAAGTGTAAAAACCTGAAGTTGTGGTTTTATGTGTTGAGGCTAAGTAGCCTACCAAAGAATTGGAAAGTAAGTTTAAATGTCAAGCTATTACTCTAACTGTTTTGTCGTCATCTTTTGAGGCATTATTTTACATTTTTTGGTATAAATAGCAATACTTAGTACGCTAATTGATTTGCACATTCTCAATATAGCCTAACTTTAGTATAGTCTACTTAAATGATGATTTTGTTTCATTTTACAGGTTTACTATATATTAAACAAGTATTTTTATTGTAATGCAAAAAGGAATAATGAGTAAGCACGACAGGCTGAGAGTTCTACATTTAATCCCAATACACTGCAGTATTTAAGCAAACTATGTACTGGTTTTTAGGAGTATTTGCTGCACAATAAAGGTTAAAGGTTTAAGGAGTTTGAATACAGTTATTGAGGGATCCAAGAATGAAGTATTTAGTGTATGTCTGTGTGACCCACCTTTTTCTGTCTGTGTGTATTGCCTTGATTCAATTGTTTATGGCCTAATGTTTCTTCTTCTGTGTCCTGTGTGTGTGTGTGTGTGTGTGTGTGTGTGTGTGTGTGTGTGTGTGTGTGTGTGTGTGTGTGTTTGTGTGTGTTTGTGTGTGTTTGTGTGTGTGCTGTGTGCCTAAATGTCTCCTCTCACACCCCGCCCTGGTCCAGTGCCCTATAAGTAACTGTGTTGGAGCAGGTGCCAAATATAGATCCCGGCAGAGACTGTTCCCTTCACATTATGAGCAATGTTAGAAAGGATTAACATGGGAACAGTACCAAATGATTGAAATCGTTTGGAAATGGAATGCCAAATTGCTATTTGTGTTTGTTTTGTTCAGAGAATCACTAACAGACGAATGAAATGAACTGAAGATATCAAAATTCCCAGGTCTGTTACACAGAAGGGTAACATTTTAATTTCCCATAGAAAAGGAAAGTGCAGACGAAGCTGCTTTTTTTCCATCCACAACTTTCATACAGTTCAACAGAATATTTGTGAAAATCGGCAAAAGAAATCATTAGAGTCATCAGAATGATTATAACGTTACAAGATGGAAGTTTAAGATTAATTTACAAAGCATCAGTTTATATAATGACGTGTTGTTTTATATTGATCTTCAACATGAGCTGTAACATGAAATGCTGCACTCCCAATTAATATCGCTCTCTCTCTCTCTCTCTCTCTCTCTCTCTCTATATATATATATATATATATATGTATATATATATATATATATATATATATATATATATATATACATATATATGCATATCGGCTCTCATATGAAAGACTCAGCTCTTTCACGAACACCTACATGCTTTATGTGTTTATTAGAATGTTAATGATGATGATATTGATGATGAAGCTGTTTATGTTGTTTTGTTCAAGTGTGTGTGTGTGTGTGTGTATGTGTGTGTGTATCTGTGTGTGTGTGTGTGTGTGTATCTGTGTGTGTGTGTGTGTGTGTGTGTGTGTGTGTGTGTGTGTGTGTGTGTGTGTGTGTGTGTGTGTGTATGTGTATGTATGTATGTATGTGTATTGGCCACTAGGAGGCAGAAGAGCTTATTTCATTATTTCACCTCGATGTAGCCTAGGTTTATTTTTATTTTTTTAATATGGCTTTCATTTAATTTTAGATTATTTGAGTTTGTTTACTTTTATTTAGTTGGAGTCAATAGTGGAAAGTAACTCGGTAAATTTAGGAAGAGGTTACTATAGCAGAGAATACTGTAGGCTACTTTAAATACTTAATTGTTTTCATGCTGCCTTACTTATAGGCTACTAATATCTTAAGCATTTATGCTTTTTTATGAATGAGAGAAAAACATAAAATATATTAGTCAAAAATACAAAAAAAAAAAGTGGTTTCAATTCTTTTGATATTTTAATTGGCATCTGCAGATAAAATAGAAACATTAAAATTAGTGACCAGTAGATTAAAACAATCTAAACCAATACAAACAACATTTCTTAAAACTGACTTCTAATGTCATGTTGTCATGTGGTCTTGTGGTAGATGGACAGATTGCGTGTGACCGTCACAGACGAGGTCTTGGCGCTCTCTGGTGGTTGTTGCTAGGCGACCAGCCCTTCCCTCTGCCCCTGATAAAAAATAGTCATTTTTACATAAAAGCAAATCCTACATGTGCCCGTCAGATAACCCCCTCAGTGAAAACAGAGCCAACAAAGGCGCCCATTAAATTAGAAAGTGTTTGTGTGTGACGGCTTCACACGGTGGCCTCTACGTAAAGGGGAGGAGGAAGTTCAAATGGGGAGGAGTGACATACACAGAGCAGCAACGAGGAGCAGGTTTGGAAAGAAGACGACAAAAAGCGTCTGTTTGTGCTCCGAGGGTTAGGCTTTTTTTGTTTCCTTTTTCACATCATTAAGCTCAATACACTTTTCTAGTAGGAGCCGAGGAGACAACAGCGACCAGAGAGGTGAGATTTAAAAGTCACTTAACAGGCACATTCTTGTTAATATGAGGCGACTAAGGAGGCTTTAGTTTTGTCTATTTTTATCCGACCTTTACCAGACACATGGAAGCATGTGGTGGACACTTTCAAAACTCATTTTTTTAATGACTTTTTATGAGCTTCACACACCAATCTTAAGTCATCTATTCATTTATATTGGTTGTGCTTAAAACAGTAAAGCATAAAAAGCCGCAGAGGATATTACTGGTAAAGGTCCAGTGGAAAAATATAGGACCATCCCTTCTTCCTCTGCTGAAAAATGCCACACCCACTTAAATCCATCTCAGCTCTCAAACATGCAGCATCAAGAACAAAATATGCCATTGCTTGTCCTTGAGTCTCTTCTGTATTATCTGATTTGTTTAATGAAGTCACTGGACTTTTAATGTTGTGGTCATAAACGTATAAAACCTTTGTGTGCAAACAAGATTGTGATTGTGATTATGGGACAATGTGAGTTATTTAATACGGTGATTTCCCTAACCCACTCCCTCTGCTTTGTTTTTAATCACCCCCCACCCCCTCTCCTTCCCTCCTATTCCTCCTGTTTCCCATAGAGACCAGGGTAGTGAACCAGGAAGTGAGAGTTCTTTTTACTCAGCATCCGGAAAAGCTTCAGATATTTCCTTTGAAATGTCCGCTCCTGGTAAGTTAAGAAACTTTGCAGCGTGGAAAGTGAAAAACGAACTAGATTTGTGTCTTATTTCAACTCTGTAGTTTGGCTTTTAAGTGGGAAAATAAGAGATTCTTTTTAAAAAAAAATTATCCCTGCCTTTCCTAGAGGTTTGCTTCTTCTTCTTTTGCATGAAATTGGTCGAGGAAACACGTCTGATTTAGGCTCACAGGTCCAGCATGAGGCTCCTCCTTCAGGATGGAAAAAGAGCAGTTAAGGAGGTGAAAGGTGCCGTTGTGTTGGCACGGTTGCGTGTGGACGGGAGGGAAGCTTTTCCAGCGAACGTGCTGGTTTTAAAATTCTCTGTTTTGTTTCCTGCAAGTCGAGGAAGGAATGTGGAAAAAGGCGGAGCAACATGAAGCCTTTTGCAGAACAAAATACCCACGTCCTCTCTTGACATCTGGCTCTTGTTGAAAAGCAGAAGTGGCTTCTGCATTTGTGGTTTCACGACATAAAGTCAGCTCTCAATATGAACTGTTCCTCTAGATGGACTGTCCTGCCATGCAAACAAAAACCAGTTTAGTAACTTTATGAAACAATTGAGACGCTATCTTTTTGCACAATGCATCTGTAAAGTATGTTGATTTTAATAAACATACTCGTGGAAACAGTTGTGTGAGCTCTCAGGTCAGCAGGAAACAAACTGAATAACAATCCTTTCAGTTTGATTCTTAGTGGTCTGGAAAACCTCTAAAGGAGGGTCTCTGCTCTGGTGAAAAACCCTATTGTAGTGTTTTAGAGGTGGGATGTGGTGCAAGAAGGTTAGTTAATATGAAGTGTTTGTCTATTGTTTACTCTAACCGGTTACACAGAAAAACAAAGCGTTGTAGTATCTCTTCCAGCCGTATTGTTTTCACTTTATTTTGAGACTTAAGGAATTTACAATTCGATGAAATCAGAAAATCAGAAAACTCTTGCGAGATGCTAAATCCAGGAAGTGATACACGGATTATCAATGTTGTAGTTCGTTCATATATTGCCTGAACTAATCAATGAATGGATCATTTGTTGCGTTATAATTCCAATTAGAGATCAAGACTTTAATCCTGACAAGTCTTCTTACACAAGATCAAACACAGAATGATCTTTTTTTTTTTACATTTGAACAGAATTAAAAAGCGGTGAAGTATGCACACAATCTGTTTACCCCAAAAACCAGTCAAACGGCACAGTGGACACCACCTTCGACTGAAAATAGATAATAAGCAGCATCATTGGAAACTTACAGTGACCGTCCCCCTTCCTCCTCCTGAAACTAAAGAGACTTATCATGAGTGTATTCAACCATGATGGCAAGAACCCAGAAAGTCCATCCAACTTCATCAAAAACTGTTCAACCTGTGCTCGTGCTATATTTGGAACAAGCCGAGAGTCCGAGGCGATACCACCTTGACCTTTTAATAGTCATCTTGTCTGTGTCAACCTAACAACAGGCCCGAGAGCTGGTGCTGAGGCAGGTTTTAAGCTTCTTGACAAACTGTTACATTGCAGTCGCCTGTCAGTTAGGTCAGCTACGTGCCTAACTATGGATAACACGTATCTTTCATAAAAGCCATGTTCATTGTTTGACCTGGGCTGTAAACATGTTCATTTCGGCTTTTTGAATGGGTGTGTAGTGTGTATGTGACTTCTGCTGCCAGACTCAAGCTGCAGGGTTTTGCATAGGCTCATTCACATCACCATCATTGCCTCTTGGTGGGAATACATTACACATGCCTATTAGATTGTGAAAAATAAAGACGTTTGGCAGATAAGCCACACAAGAACAAGTATGATCTGATAGACAAGACTAGAGAAACAGGACCAGAGGGACGGGTTAAGACCAGATGGACAAACGGGACAGAGTCAAACAGATTGGGCTGTTGGAAAAACACTGCACACTCATCAACGATCATCATCATTTGTTTGATTGAAATCCTTTGAAAACACACTGACGGTAATCCTCATTTGCAATGGTGCTACCGCTGAAGTACGGACGACGTTAGAGAAGAGGCAGGAGTCAAATGAAATAGAGGGCTAGCGAGAATTGAACAGGAAAATTCATGGAATAAAAAAGCAAAAATATACAATAAAAATTGTAAAAATGATAAAGGTAAGAACAAATAACATTTTTTTAAAATCTAAACAGCTCAAATCAACCAATCAAGATTTGTAAACAAAACAGGAAGTAGCTGTCCGCTGTGGTTGGTGAGCTATACTATGAAGCAAGTTTTAACATATCTTGGAGTTTCCAAGGGTGCATTCACATAAAAGGGGCGGGGTTAGCTTCATACACCCTTTCACAATCATGACTGAGTCTGCCGTCAGCCGATCATCATGTCCAACAAACTATTAATAGTATAAAGACATTTAAGACAAACAGGCCGCCAAAGACTAAAGATACACCTCTGCAGGAAGGTCAACTGGCAGATAAATGAAAAATCAGTGAGTATTAATGTGCAAACTACGGATTATTATATTTTTTCCCGTTGTTAGTTCACCTTAGAACTGATTATAATAACTCCTGTTTTTTTCCCTTAACTGAATGTGTTGCTCTGACTCTTTCATGTGGCGAGTATAACAGTTTGAGAAGTTATATTTCAGCTGCAGCTGCAGAGCGGCATGGAGACACTAAACATTCAGAGCCAGAGAGAGGGCTATTCAATGAAGGCTATTTGTAATTTGACATCTTAGAAACACAACTAAAAGGCTCCGGTGCTTTATTTAATCTCTGCTGAAGGATGATCATCAATAATAATGAACTTAACGGACTATCATTTTATTATACGGGATACATGAAGCGTTTGTCGGTCTCTCTCCCTCCTCTCGATCAGCTCCGGGAGCTCCACCATCAAAAGATCTTAACGGTCAGTGGGTGGAGGTTTTCACAGGTTGATCTCTTATCTCGAACATAACCCGCTCCGGATCATTCTGCAATCCTTGTTTCGTAGTAATGGCCCCAGGTGTTACTTTAGCCTTTATATTGTATTAGTTGGGTTTTAAAAATAAGAGGACATAGAGAATGTTCTTTTGCATACTTTGAAATCTGTCAGAAATATGAATCTGGTTTAAATGTCTAAGCTGCCCTCTCTCTGGTTGACATTCAGTGTTGACTCTATGACACATGAACCTGGGTAAACACATGTCAGTCAGCAATTCCACTTTATTCAACACAGACATCCTCAGGCACGCCTTTTCTTTGTCACACATACCGGTACTTCTTTGTCATTGCCAACTGAGCTCTCTCTCAGTGATCCATGTCATGTAATTGGCTGTTTCAAAACTGATTGAAATATTGCAGATGAAGAGAGTGATTCAGTGTTCTGTAATTGCTTTAAACTCTGTTAAAGCAAACATACAGTCTGTCATTCACTTCATAAAGGCTTGATTTAAAGAAGCTTCTGTTATTAGAAACAAATGTGAACCCTTCATTGTCATTAGAGCAGAGTGATCATAGGCTGTGGCACTGGGTTTATTTCAGTGAGGAGAAAAGACAAGAACCCCGTTCATGTGATCATGTTTAAATGAACAACATGAGGAATCTGGGCAAATCTTAACTACGGGTTGTATTTACAGTCTTCAGCTGTTCAACTCAAGCTCAAAACAAAGACTTTAATCCAGTAATGAAACTGTTTTTCTGCTTGTGTTTTTGTTTGGTAAATCACTCTTTAGAGGGTGTTAAACCATAAAATCACAACAACAAAGAAATAGCTGTCACTATAAAACAAAGTCCAGTCACCTTTGGTTATGCCCGCCCCTCTTCATGCTCTCAGCCTGGTTTGTAGCTTGGCTAATAAGTAGCTTATTGGCTCTGCTGACCCCACAGGTAAAGGAGGATGATCGACAGGAAACACAGGCACACACATGAGCACTGCCATTATCCACACACACACATACACTGACAGATCTCTCGGTCTTAGTCCCAGCGGTGACCTGAATGCTTGTTGCTATTGCATTTTCTTTTTGGTCTACTTTGCAAGGGCAGAACTTTTTAGTGAGTTTTAAGTATTTATTACGTTGGCTTGTGTTTGATTTTCCTTTATTATGACTTCTTTTTTTTTTTTTACTTTTTAACTCTGTTTTGTAATTCTTTGTGTCTTTTGTGTCAAAAATGTCTGTTGCTTTATTTGATGAGTCTTCATGAAAAATACATCTGTAGACAACCTTTTTAAAAAAAATAATATTATGTTTTTTCTTCTTCAGGCTATCCAGGCGGTCCGCACCAGCCACCCTATCCCATGACTCAGCCCGGCGGTCACTCCGTAGCGCCTTATCCCTCTGCTCCAGGGTATGGCAACCCCCATCAAGCCCCTCCACCGGGCTTCATGGACTACAATTCAGGCCCGCCTCCTGTCATGTACCAGCCCAGTCAGGTGGGCCCAGGACCAGTTCCAGGACCGCAGTATGGGGGCCCTCCTGGAGGGATCTCCCCTGCCCCTGTTGGTGTACCGGCTGCGGTTGCTGTCGGGGTGCCACCGGGCCTGGAGTACCTGACACAGGTAGGACGAAGCAATCGAAGATATGGAAAACTGCTTTAGCACATTGAATTTGAACAAGATCAGGTGATTTCCACCAGTGTTTGAGTGTCTTTATCTTACCTTAGACGGATTACTCATGCACCACTCCTCATACGACTTCATTGTTAAAAGAGACACTTGAGATTATAAAAGGCAAACAGGTTAGTGCCCTAAAAAATGTCTGTAAACAGGTTTGTGCTGGCATAGGGGAAATTTACCTCTCACTGCAGACCAATTTCCAACTTTTTTCTCTCTAAAAGAAAGAAAGAATAAATCACTTTGAACAGATCAAATACTATAACTTGATTTTGTGACTCTTATGACACTTGCATGCACTCAGACTAACACGCAGGTAGTGTGGAGTTTGTCTGCGGCTGTATGAAAATATATGTTGTATGTTGTTTTGCATTGAAAACGGAAGTGTCACATCATGTTTGCAGCATTATTCCCTGTTTGCCACAAATTTCTGAACTGTTCTGCCCTCTAACATTGCTTTGTTTTATGGTTTAAGATAGACCAGATCCTCATCCATCAGAAAATAGAACTCCTAGAAGGTAAGTTGTGACATATTTACCATACTTCCCTCTCTGTCAGCAGCAAATAATCAATAGCTGTCAGAATGTTTTTTGTTGCATCCTTGAACTTAAAACCTCTGGACATAAATCCAAACGATAAGATGACATCTATCTGTGGACTTTCTTTCTTATCTAAGAATTGTCCTTTTCTACCTCTATTTCCAACCCCGCCCAGCATTCATCGGATTTGAGACCAACAACCAGTATGAGATTAAAAACAGTCTGGGCCAAAAGATCTACAAAGCCAAAGAGAAGAACGACTGCTGCACCAGGAACTGCTGTGGCTCTCTGCGCAGCTTCGACATGAAGATCAAAGACAACATGGACAGGGAAGTCATCCGTCTCATCCGGCCTTTCCGCTGCGTCTCCTGCTGGTGTCCCTGCTGCTTGCAAGAGGTCTGTATGTGCAAACAGTCCCCACCGGTCAAAATCACTTCTTAATAAGCTCATATTATATTGACCACCACTCAAAGACAAACATTGTATGAATTCAATAGTTCATTGAGCGCCTAATTGTCTCGAGAATGCAGCGCAATCATAGGGACAAACTCAGATTACTGTGTTACAATGTTTGCCCAAAGTGTGCCAAGATAAGCTGCTCTGTTAATGTTAATATTTAAGCGTGCTGGTTAGCTGAAACGCTTCTGACAAAGAAGAACAAACAGTTTACTGCTTAAAGAGTCGATCATTTTTAAAAGATGCTGGCGCTCAGAAAAAAAACGCTAGGTGGACACGGGTTGATTTTCCAAGAAATAAATCCAGTGTCATTGGATGGGTAAAATCAAGGCCATTCAATGCTAAACTACCTGAGAGCTTTTTTATACTACTTCTGGTAAGCAGCTTATTTTACTGATTAAAAAGCATCACATGCAAAGGAAAAAACAGTTTGGACCGAGTAGCATAAACTTTTGTAGCCTAACCTTTCTCATTAGCTCATGTTTAGACTTTTCTGCCTATTCCCTCTTCAGCTTGTGTTACTGGTGAGTGTTGCTTTGGTGTCTTTGTCCTCCGCTCTGTTCAGTCCGGGGTTTCTTTTAAAGACCATGAATGGCTCTTTGTCCGTCCAATCTATCTCCTGGACTCCCCCGATCCTCTGCCATCCCTCCACCTCTGAGGCCCCTCTCTGTCTGTCTTTGTTTAATCACATCGTTCCCCAGTCTGGCTGAAGAAGGTTCATTTTGGCCCAAACCCAAACAGCTACACTCACATACTGGAGTTCTGTTTACTGGGCTGACAGGACCCATGTGAGATGTATTATCTTTGTTATGTGGTGTCACAATAGAGCAGTCAGAGCCTCACTTATCATTCCAGCAAGGCCCCGCATGACATGCTAACCCCGTGATTTTTTTATTTATTTATAGCTTTCAGTGTCCAGGGAGGCAGCCAGATTTTAAGCCCTCTGAGATGACTTACTAATTGTGTGCAGTATGTTAATGTAACTGTATGTGACCTGCAGATGGAGGTCCAGGCACCACCGGGCACCACCGTAGGTTACGTCAAACAGGACTGGCACCCTTTCGTGCCAAAGTTTTCCATCCAGGGACCCAACAAGGAGACCGTGATGAAACTCGAGGGGCCCTGCTTCGCCTGCAACTGCTGTGGAGACGTCAACTTTGAGGTGTGTTTGTGCGTTTTGTTGCCAAGATTTTCGAGTAGAAGGTCCGTACCACTCTCATATCCTTTCATTAAAATACGAAGCTACGGAAAGCAGTCGATTAGCGTAGCTTGGCATAAATACTGGAAACAGTTGGAGACAACTAGTTTGGTCAAAACGTAACAAAATCCATCTCCCAGTCCAGCACATCTAATGCTCACTAATCAACACTTTATATCTTATTTGTTTAATTATTACAGAACATGTTACGATGAAAACAGGGTGGTATTACAGGAGGTTATGACAATGATTCTTTCTTTGCAGGAGCAGTGACTACATGGAGTCTCTAATCGTTTGCACGGCCACCTCATTTTAATAACAAAACTACAAGAAGACAATGCACCTCTTCAGTAGTGCAGTACGATTTTTGACGTACTTGTTGACTGATTTTGTGATCTTTCAACACAACCAAGCTTCCTATCTCCCTGTTTCCAGTCTTTATGCTAAGCTAAGATTAAAAAAAAAGAAAAAAGAAACAACTGGTTGCAGCTTCATTCTCGTCCAACAGTTATATTGTGTCAAATCTTCTCATCTGACTCTGCAAGAAAGAGAACCAGAGTTCCTCTTTCTTCCCTCCATCAAATGAACCCCACACATGAAACTCAACATGGATGTTTTTATCACTCTGCAGCTGAAGAGTAAAGACGGTGACACGCCCATCGGTCGCATCAGCAAGCAGTGGAGCGGCCTGTTGAAGGAAGTCTTCACAGACACGGACAACTTTGGCATCCAGTTCCCGATGGACATGGACGTGAAGATGAAAGCCGTGCTGATGGGAGCCTGCTTCCTTATTGTAAGTCCATATTTACAGCCTCTTTCTTTAGATCGGTCCCTGCTTTAAATATCACCAATTTAAATGCTGTCTTACTTGCAGACTAATTCGGGCATGAATTGACGTCTCATTTGTTTTCATCTGCAGGATTTCATGTTCTTTGAGAAGGTCGGGGAGGCCAACCAGCGCAGCACGGTCTTTTCTTAACAGCGTTTCCTCTGAGAGGAAAAAAGTAGTTATGCATTCGTCCTTGAAATTCTTTGTTTGTTCTTTTTATTCTTTCTTCCAGCCGATACTGTGCCATCTTTTTCTCCACACAGACCAATACAAGCAAACTAACTCCTGATTCCAGATGTCTGCCAAGGATTCTTTTTTTAAGATCTATCCAAACTCAGTTACTGACTTTGGGAAACATATGACCATTTTCTTAAAGCACTCCGTACATTTTGTAGACTTGTATTCTGTTTGTATCAAGCCGGTGTACGTCCAGCTGAGATTTAATCCCTGCCAAAGAAAGTCAACCTTAATCACATGTTCTTTTAACCACTGCTGGTGTGGATTTCATATTTACATGTAATGACTGGTTTATGACCCTTGTACTCGCGTTCTATTAAGAAACCAGACTATATCTTGTGTAAGTGCAATACTGTGATATTACTCATTGCCTTGTATTTTTAGCTATGCTACATGTAGCGGCTAGCGGACGCTCTGCATGCCTATCTGTCTGTACCATACTTGGTGTGAAAAATACATATAAGATGGATTACCATGTTTGGTACAGACAACCACGCTGCCTTTAAGATGAATCTATTCATTACCAAATGCCTACTAAGCTTACTTTATACCCAATAACCTCGACTGTTGTCGTGTTAAGTGCTAACCAGGAAATGTTAGCATGCAGTAAGCCATACTAAGTTGGTAGAATTGATCAACCATACACCTGGATTAGCATGAGATGTTAGCATGCTAGCTTTTAGCTGAAATGATTGCTTTGTCTTAGTACAATCTCCCAGGTGCATTAGCATGGCTTTAAACCTTATAAAACTTGAACACTTGCTTAAGTTAACAGGCTGCCATAATCAAGGTGTGATAATGAAGTTAGAAATGAGTTAGCTAGAGATAAGAGGGAGAATGTTTAATGTCTCATGGTTGAAGTTGTGAGTGTGCGATTTGACACATGGCAACAGTGTGTACCAGAGTGCTCTGTCTCTAACTCTGTGTCTTAGTGTAAATAGTCTGAAAAAGATGCTGCACAGACTGGGCTGCAGGGTAAATGTGCTCATGTTCCCCTCTGTGTTTAGTCGTTTCCATGTTGACTGTCGTCACAGCATCTCCCTCTCCCTCTGTGTGTTTCTCCAGATATTGCTGCCTGTGTTGAACGTGTGCCAGTGTAGTGTAACAGGAGATAGAGAATGTAGGTTAAATGGGAGGAAAAGTTGTGAATGTAGGAAATAAAAAAGGCAGAAGTTGAGGGCAGGAACATGAATCAGCCCTCAGAGTGGTCGGAAAACCCCAGGAGTGACAGTTTTAGAAAACACACTTTCTTTCAGTTCTTTTAAAAGAAAGAGATCTGAATGTGAACTTGTCATGAAAACAATGCTGTCTTAGCTCCTTCAATGGCCGTGAGAATGGGAAAGAAAACACGTTTGTAGATATATCTTAGTGCAGTTGAATGCAAATTTGTGCTCTGTGTTGAATAACCCTTCTTGTAAGATAACATGGGTGTGCCTCATGTGAGGCTTGGATGCCACTCGTGCTCTCAAATCCAGAATGCAGCTCTTTATTACACGCCAGTAACCAAATGTGTCTTAAAGTCTGTGCATACATATACAAACATATCCTATGTAATACATTCTGTACAATCTGACCTCTTTGAAAGAAAGGACCAAAGTACACAATAATTTATGCAATCTGTGTATTTGGTCAGTTTTTATATTTTCTACAGCACTTGCTTTTCTAAAACCAGCTTAAACTGCAGCTAGTAGGATCGTGAGACTCAGTCCCCTGTGGTTCCATTACAACAATTTTTTATCATTTATTTGTTATGTTTTGAGGTTGTGAATCACATGCAGAATGTCAAAATATTAGCTTGAAAAATAAATCACAATGCAAAAGTATTACTGTTTTGTGTTATTCTGCTACTTTGGTGATTGTCCTGGAAAGTTTTGGGAAGGGCCTTGGAAACCTTTAGGTCACAATGTGAAACATCTGGTTCCATTTGAACAAAAGAGAGATCATGTAAATCCACCCTCTGATTGTCTCATCAAAGTCTACTCTACTCCCCTTCAGTTACTGAGTAACTTGAACACCACACACACCCTGTTGGTGTCAATGTTAGCTGCATTTCTCTATATGCTAACATGTGTGTTCTAATTCAGATGTAGAAATGAAGTCAAATTCTAGCATAGCATAGAGCATAGGTAGCATAATGAAAATCAAACCGCTCCATCTCCTGGTACCTTGAAGGAAATACAAGCATATTTTATTACCGGTACATGTCTGCACATGTCCATCCGTGCCTCATTACAACATACAGGAAGCAACAATGCAAAGCAACCGGTCTTACAATGCACCGGGAAATCTGCAACATATTTACACTGGTTTGTCTATGTACACAGTGCGTCTAGTTTTCAGTCACATACCACTAAGAAGACTACAACATGACAAATATGCTCTGTGAAGAAAAATGTATAACTAACCAACATGGCAGGTTATTGTAAACACAAGGTGTGGTTGAATGGGTGGATGCCTCAGCAGCACAAGAGTTCATGACCTCTCTGTTGTGCCCCGAATACTGTCACTCATAATATTGCATCCAAAACATTTTACACCACACAGTTTTTTAGAAGTCTGCCCACATTGACCCCAATGCAACTTTACCATAAACTTTTCTATTTCAGTTTCAGTTGTGTTGTGTAGCCTGCGGTTGTTTGCCTCAAGTACACTGTGGCAGGCTAAATAGAATTGCTAAACGTTATTCTTTTAAGATAAAATACAAACCCAAAGCATTTCAATTTTCAAAATGAGACCTCTTACTGACACTGACTTTGAGGCAAACTTGTTTTTTTCCAAGATCTCCCAACACCTGTAAACGGTCTAGTAAAATTGGGTCTAGAACTCATTGAGTTTATAAGTGGACTTTTCAAATTAACTGAAATAAACGCTTAAGGTCCACATCATTTTATAGCACACAGTGTGTCTGACTAACTGCTCCATGTAAGAATTTAGCAGAGGATAAAAAGGTTAAACAAAGTCACGTGCTGAAATTAAACACTCATGAAATAATAGCTTCATATTAAGACCAGATCATCAGTTTTATTCAATAAAACAATTTCTAAAACAGTATTTACAAATGTATTAAAGTACAAAAACTATTTGCAAGAAAAGACAATGTGCTAGATAGTGTATTATGAAAGTATAAAAACGGAGTCTAAAACATTGTCTTCTTTTCATTTCATGTGTTTCAAAGTTGTTTTCTTTTGACATTCAACCATCTACAGTAGTCTATGCATCTGACCTCCCAGCTGTTCCCATCATCGAGCTGGACGATGAAAGTGGGTCTCTCCGGTGTAAGAGTGTGTCAAGATGCTGCTAAGAAGTCAGCCCTTGTTTATTTACAGTAAGGGGACATCAGCCTGAAAGCTCCCCTCAGACGCGTCTTTCATTGCCAATTTGGGGTCGCTCCCTCTCTCCAGTTCCTTGTCTGTCGTCCTGTGACCATCGGATCAGGTGGCGGCTGGCCAACTGCAGGTTCCACTGGTGCCTGGAGAGGAACTTAAGACAGTCCTCTCTGGAGCAGAGGCTCAGCGAGTACAGCTGCTCCAACTGAACGGACACAAAACAAAAACAGGGAACAGACGAGGCGTTGTTCTCAATCAGCATTGACATCATCAAATTAATTCTTACACTGTTATTCTTCTTTCTCTTCTCCTGTGTCCCTAACCTGTCTACAAAACCCCCCAATTATGAGAAAAGAAAATGTATGCTCGAACGGGCCGTTTAGAGACTTTCCCTTTGTGACATCACAAAGGGCAGTAACCCCTTCCACAGGTGGGTGCTTGTTCTAATCTCCGCCAACTGGGCATGGTGCAAGAAAGCCAAAGCCACCCAAGCCCTTCCAGAGAGGGGCGTGGTCAGACACAGCTCATTTGCATTTAAAGTTACAGACACAGAAACAGCCTGTATGGAGCAGGGCTGAAATAGAGGGGTTTATAGGCATGATAAATGGATTTATAACAAGAAACTTCCCAGGCATGTTTTTGGGAGTATAATATGGGACTCTCACAGTGCTTTTTTAACCTTTTATTTTATTTTTTGATGTAATATGTTTAAAATTATTTCTCCTCAAATTGTTCTTGTTTCTTTAACAATTGAAAATCACTTGTCTAAGTTGCTTCTTTGTGCCACTTTGTTCACTTTAACATAATTACCAGTAAGTATGACTTAATGTACTACACACAGGTAGATGAGATGTTTTTTAGGGTCTGACCTTGAGTTGTTGTTCGGCTCTCACAGGGTTCCAGTCATTCCGTTGAAGTGCACCATGAACCTCTTCAACGGTCACTCCATGTACGGCCTCCATAACCTGAGAGAAGCAGATTGACTCAGTTTATTCAGTGAAAAAGTTTGTTATTCAGAAACAGGACATAATAAATCCCTCTCTTACCTGTGCGATGAGGTTGTCCCTCGTGGTGTGCACTTGAGGTGACTTGTCTCTTTCTCTGCCTCGTTCCCTCTCTCCATCCGTGACGTCATCCAACTGCGGGGTCGAGCGTGCCATGTTGGACATTTTAGCCAGGTTTGAACCCCCAATGCCCAGCTGAGGTTGAGGTAGGTGCTGGGGTGGAGGTTGAGTCTGCGCCGGAGGGAGCATGACCACCTGTGGAGGCCATGAGGTCCCAGGGAGAGGCTGAATGCTGGGCCTTGCCGGTGGTTTCTTTGTCAGGTGCTTTAAGTTGGGAGGCGGTGGACGGGCAGGGGGGGCAAGGCTGGCAAGGCCGGCCTCGCTGAAGCGGCGTGGGTCCTTCTGCATATCCGCACTGTGAGCCCCCATTACGAGGGGCAGCAGTCGGCCCTGGTGATCCACTCGGAACGCGCCTACTGTGTGAGCCCGAGGACGTTGTCCGCTCAGGACGGACTCCAGGCTCAGAGACATTCCTGCAGACACGCAAAGAGGCCTTTCAATTCACAATTTACAGTTAACATGTAAATATTATAGTATTAGTCATTAGCAAGTGATGCTAGTTTAGAATTTTCTTTAGGCCCTGCGGTGATAGCCTTATAAAGCCACCAGAGGGCAGACTGGTCTACTGTGAGTAAATCATCTAACGAGTGAATGAATACTTCAATTGAGCTACTTCTCTCATGGTGAATGTGCTTTGTCTCTAATAATATCTTAATCAAGACAAGTTTCAAACATATTTAAAATAATTTAACATTTCCAAAGCTTTAAATGATCTGCAAAAGAAACTCTTAAGAGGACTCTATTGTTATCAAGTAATTTATCAATAACAGGTCAAATATTTAGGAGATTTCCCGGTGCATTGTACGTTATTAATAAGTTAATTGCATCATAGTAATATTCAAAATCTCAGCTGGCATCTGGTTATTTCACAGTGTATACATTACCACCATGTTAAATATGTTAGCTCTGGTTCACCTTATCCCTCAGTTGCTTTTCTTGTCAGTTCCTACCTGCCATTTTCTGCAGATTGGTTCCATCCTTCTCCCTCAGCCTCCAGCTGTTATTCCTGCACAGTTTACAACAGCAAACAAATGAGTGTGATCGCCTCCACTTACTAACCGTGCTGACTAACAGCTGGTGAAAGTCCAGGGCTGCATTGCAACAGTATTCTGCAATAAAACTTACATGCCTGAGATGCTTTGACCACAAAACAAGTTTTTTATTGTTTTGTGGAGGATATAAGCAGCAACAAATAAACTGCCACTCAAGATGAACTTTGTATCTCTGGACTTGTGTCTCTCTTGTTGGTTTATTTTTAGCTGCATGTAATTCAAGTTAATATATTATGATTTCAAAAGAAAGTAGGATAACAAGAAGAACAAATAAGTATTATCACTGACTCGTCCAGGCCCTTAGGTGTTCCCCAGTTGCGATCAGGTTTGATGTCTCCATGCCCGATGTGTTGCAGGCTGCCCCTTAGTGGGACTGAGATGTGGGGGATGTTAGAAGCAGCGTTGCCGGTGAGTGTGGCGGCGACAGCAGGAGGGAGAACAGGCACAGAGAGGCTGGCAGGAAACCAGCCGACTGTTTGCGTCCTGTGGTTCTGACCTCTCCACTCACACAACTCCAGACTAAAGAAAGAGAGAGGAAAACGTTTCGGAAATTAGCAGCAGCCAAACAGATCCTCTCGTTTAAGCGAAAGCACCTTGTTTGTAACTCAGAATAATGCAGACACATTGTATAACAGCAGCACAAGAAGCGATGTGTTCAAAAGTCAGTGACGAACATTACCTTAGCTAACAGGCTTAGCTGTGTTAGCTATGCTATGTAACACTGTCACATTAACAAACCCTCAAAGTCTTGAGCTTCTCTATAGGGAGTGTGATTGCTTGTGAATTTACATTTGAATATTTAAGAAGAAAAAAAGTGTTACTTCTTGAAGTCAAAGGGTCGATCTGTGTGTACTCACAAACAGGCAGGTACACAAATTTAAATTTAAAGTAACTCACGACGAACCACATAAAGAAGTCAATGAATGTAACCGCCTGAATTTTAAAGCGGTTATCTTCCTTCTAGACCGGGACTGAACTTAATGCTATCTGTTATGATAGTTTCTACTGATAAAATGCGAAATATGAATGGTTTGTTTGGAAACCTTTTGTGTAATTGAATGATTCTGTGCCACAGAATTTAATACAGTTCTGATCGTCAATATGTCAAATATTGTGATGTGATTGGTGATGTACTCTTTCACTGGTTTATTTTTGTTTGATTGAAGAGCATTTGGTATCTTTCGAGACATTAACACGCATTTCCCCTCTACCATGTGCTTTATGGTAAAATAGATTTTAGGGGGACAGAGTGTATTTTACCATTAATTAAATTAAAGTGTCTGAACTGAATCAGTGTTGTGTTTATTAAAGTTAAAACAGAGAGCTAACTTTGTGACTTCAGGTTGAGAAAAACTGCCCATTTATATTGATTTCTATGGATTTAAGTGGAAATTTTGATGCTTCAGAAATGAAGAAAACGAAGAGTTTTCTAGAGTTTTCCCACAAACAAAGTAGTAATGCATTTAAGTCCTCAATGAGATCAAAACTGGTAATCACATTAAGAGAGCCGGCCCATTTAAACCTCTGTTTCTGCTCAACAAAGGCCTTTTGTGTGCGTCAAAGTTTCCCCTGTACTCTTCCACTCCCACCCTCTTTTCTCTCACCCACCCATGGTCTATGACGGTCACAAGGTCGTTGGCCGCGAGGGCGAGTTTCCTGGGTTCAGCAAAGTCTCTGGTTGCTTGTACCTCCTTTGGTTTAGCCTACAAAGACACACAAGTGTGAACCGTCTGCTGCAGTTGAAGAATGTGAAATATTTGTACGTAAGTGAATCATTATGTCACACACCTCTGCAACCATCGTAGAAAGATGAGCAAAGGTGGGTCTGTCGCTCGGACTGCAGGCCCAGCACTTCCTCATCACGGCGTACAGCTCTTGGGGGCAATCCGGCGGTTTCTCCAGACGCTCCCCTTCCCGCTCCACACGCCACAAAATCTGGATTTAAGAGAAAGTATGTCAGAGATTATAGAACTCTGAGTCACTGAGTGTATTATGAAAGCATCAGGGCGGGGTCACACATTCCAAACTTGAGACAAATACGCTGATTGGCATGGATACAAACACTGCCAGTACATAAACGTGTAAATGTTTTTGACAAGCATGTACCTGTCTGCCTGACAGACCGAACCAGGGCTCCTCACAGTAGGTGAACATCTCCCACAGGGTGACACCAAACATCCACACGTCAGAGGCGTGGGAGAACGAGCCGATACGGAGACTCTCTGGAGCGCACCTGGAAGAAAATCAGCAGCTATAAGTAACTATTTAAGAATTTCTTTTTTTTTTTTTACACACTCCCCATTTTCCCAGCATCCCTCACCATGCAAACGGGATCCTCCTGTGTGCTGCCATGATGTAGTGATCGGCCTCCTGGCTCAAGCCTCTCATAAGGCCAAAGTCCCCGATCTTCACTATCTCCCTGGATGCCAGCAGCACGTTCCTCGCAGCTAGGTCCCTGTGGATGAACCTCCTGGTCTCCAGGTAATCCATCCCCGCCACAATCTGAGTGGCAAAGAGCCAGAGGCGGACCAGAGGGTACTGGTACTGACGTGAGCGCAGAGTGTCGTACAGCGAGCCTAAGGGGGCCAACTCTGTTACCTAGACGACAGAAAATAGATCATTGTGTGTTCCAACTCCTAAATACACAAACAGATCTTAATTATCCCTTCATGTTACCATTTTGAGGGGCTGTGTGAGCACCACACCATAGAGGCGGATGATGTTGGGGTGGTCCAACGACTGCATGGTGGTCACCTCTTGGAGGAAGTCGGTCAGTGATTCCGTCTGCCTGGACGCGCTGCTCCTCAGGGACTTTACTGCTACAGGCAACTGGGGGGAGGAAAAAGAGACACATGCTTTATCACTAACCTGCATCAAAGCATTCAGTCTTTGTGTTTTGGGCTGACATGGTCCACGTAAACAAACACAGAATAAAAGGACAATTAAATCCTGACAGCAAGTCAGTGCAACGGCTGATGCTTCTGTAATTACTTATTGACCATATGATGGCAGCAGAACTATCATGCTGTCATATTATTAACCCAAAACGATTTTAAGGTCAAATCCTTTAACATCAACATTTATAAAGAGTAATCTGACCTCATCGCTAATATCACACCAGCTTTAGCTTTGTTTGGCTCCTGAGGAACATACTCTCGTTAGCCGCTACATGCCACTCTATATTCACCAGCTGTTTGCTGACCTTTGTTAGCAGCTTTTTTTTTTAGGGCTGGTGTGGTTTAACTCATTGCATTATATCTTGCAAACAACAGCTGCTTATTAGGAATTAACAGAGCATGCTGAGGTGCAGCATAACTGAACTAAACCTGGAAGATGTAGGCAGTCAAATCATAAAAAAGAATCTACGAGATGACAAAAAGCTAGTAGAAAAAAAAAACGAGGACTAAAAAGATGGGGTGAAAATGATGTGTGGGTTGGACATTAATACAATTCCTCTCACATATGTGAAGCCATTCGATGTCAACACTGCATCAGAAATAGAATGTTGTTTTGGGGATGTAATATTGTGAGCTGTATCTGTGAAAAAGTACACATTAAAAAGAGCATTTAAACATCTCTTACCACTCTCCCAGTAGGTGTGTGCCACTCTCCCTTCTTCACCACCCCGAAAGACCCCGAGCCAAGCTTCTCTCCCAGAGTCAGCTCGCTGTCCTGGATCAGACAGGGCAGAGCACGGCTCCCCCCCTCCTGAATCTGAGCCGGCACGCCTCCACCTAGCTGCTCCGGCCCGTCCGGACCTCGACTTAATTGCTGTTTGCATCAATAAATGAATGAAATCTTATTACGGCACGCAATACTTCATTAACATACGGTTTACAAAAATTATAAAGGAACTCAAAATTGACTAAAATGTGTGTTTCATACCTTCGGCAGCCGCGATCGTGATTTTATCTTGAAGCGTTTTAGAGCCTCCCATAGTCTTCTTTGAGCTGGAAGGAAACGATTATATGATTATAGCTAACATGACATATCTGTCTGAATTCACAACTTCTAAATCTCCACTAAATATTAAAGTTTCATAAACATGTATCACCAATAATTTAACCAAACAACTACTCTGTACACTCAATATTTCCACCGTTATTATCTCACTACATTGTTGATAAGAGTCTTTGTATTGAGATATCTCTTTGACGATGGGATTGGGCATCAAACAGGAGCTTTGTTTTGTTTATCGTTTAAACCTATTTCTAATATATATCCATGTAAGTCATCCTCTTTAAAAGGTCACATATTATGCAAAATACACTTTAACATGTTTTTTTAACACTAATATGTGTCTCTGGTCTGTCTACAAACCCCCCAATTATGAGAAAAGTCCATCCTGCTCCACTTTTCAGAAAATGTGTACTCAAACAGGTTGTTTGGAGATTTTCCCTTCATGACATCACAAAGAGCAGTAACCCCTCCCCCAGGTGGGTGACACTCCCATAGCTAGGTGTTTGTTCTGCCCTCTGAGTCTGCCTTCTCACTGTTAACAATAGGACATGGAGCGAGAAAGCCCGAGCCACTACTCCTTCCAAGGAGGGGGCGTGGTCAGACACAGCTTATTTAAAGCTACAGACACAGAAACAGCCTGTTCTGAGCAGGGCTGAAATAGAGGGGTTTATAGACATTTTTAACAAGAAACGTCACAAGCATGTTTTGGAGAGCTGTGAAGTTAATTAAACATGTTTAAAAGGAGGATAATATGTGACCTTTAATTTTTTGACTGTTATCAGATGTAACCCTTTAAACCTAAAACTCTGGAAAATTCTAATGAACAACCTTTGCAAAAATAAAGGCCAATTATAATACCTGGCTTCAGGTCGACTTTGTATTAAAGGTAATGTATGCAGGACAGAGATTGACATCAATGTCTTTCCTCCCTTCATTGATTACTTAGAAGCTGCCATTGTTGACTATGCAAACAGACACTCTCACAAACACAATGTGCACTGCTATTAGTGCAAGTTTGCTTTAAGGCAAAGTTTTTATACAGTGATGCCAGAGAAGATGGGATCACGTTTCAGTGGATGAAACTTTTAAACACGCCTGCCAGTGTTCAGTGTGTCAAGAAAACAATACTACGATGCTTTGAGGGAAAAGGTGGGATTGTTCAATAAAAGAAAACAAAGTATGAAGCATTCCAAAGACATTTGATCCAACACATTTTTGACCCCAAATCAATTATATTCTTATTTCTTTGTCCGTTTGTTCCGATAAAAAGCAATGTGGTCTGCATAATTGTAAAAAACACATTTTATATGTTGAGTTAGGCTCATTAAAGTCTTAAAAAAAGATCCGTCATAAGAAGTGGCTGAAAGCTTTCCTCCAGATGAGTTAGCCGAGATTGTGATAAGATCCAACAGTTGATTACATAAAAGGACACTATCCATAAACGGATTATTCACACCCCTCTGTAATCTTTGTGATAAACCAGACACTAGTAAGCGAGGACCTCTCTGATCAAAAGCAGTCGATGGTGCTCACCAGGTTTGCTGATTCCGATACTCTCCAGGTCGCTCTCCTTCACGTAGGCGAAGTGATCGATGCGCGTGATGTTGAGTCCATCTCTGACGCGCAGGTAGAACTTCTCCAGCTGGACCTCAGCCAGGAGTGAGTACAGCCACTGAGTGTCCTGGTCCATCAGCATGACCCGGCCAAACTTTCTGGAGAGACGAAGATAAAAGTTAGAAAGCAGTGCTCAGTCGTTTGCCGTTTCTTTTTTTTTCAGTTTACTTTGAATCGACTCTAACCTTGCTCCCGCTCCGGCCTCTTTCACCAAGGGAACTAACAAAAAGCCCTTAGTGTTAGATGCCAGAGTGGGATTGCTCAGCTTAAAGATGTGGGCCAACACTTATTTGTTGATGTGCTATGCCAAAGAAACTCTTACATGCACCTAATCTACAGTCCGCTGACAACGTCTACGATATAAAACTGTCAAAGGACTAAAACTGACATCTGTTTTCAGCGTTTTATAACCAAGTCAACTAGAAAATGATGTCTTTGGTTTGTTTAAGCACTTCCGAAAAAAGCAGTTAGCTATTTAAAGGACGGTGAAATCAGATGATCAGACGATGATAAAGAGCATAAACTAAAGAGAAGCAAAGACGAGCAGGTAGATGATGGGAAAGGAAATGTAAAAACACACATATTAGATTCTCTCCCCCTTAAGAAGCACGAAGAAGTAGGCTCGGTATCAGTGCAGCTCACTTGGCTGTGACTCACTTTAAACCTTTGAGGTAAAGATCCCACAGGGAGTCCTGATGCAATGTGAACAACTGAGAGGAGGAAACATTATCTTGTCTGTCAGTTTAAGAGGCCACCAGTTAGACAGGATCCTGTTCTCACTGAATTTATGTAACTACTGACGGTGGCATTTGCATCAGCTTTGAGGCTAATTTCAACATCATTATCACTCCTCTTCTTTTCTACATTTCTTCCATATCCTAACCTAACTGTTGACACAGAGCAATTACTTTATCAAAATCATGTGTGCAGAAACAAGCTTAAACAGAAACTTCAAACTCAGCATGCTCTTCTTACGTTGAATACAATCTCTGGTTTCTGCTTTTACAGTTCTTAAGGGGATGGTTCCGCCATAAATCAGTTGCTTATCAGCAAACCAAACCCAGCAGCCATGAGTCAGAAAAGGCCTTCCACATTCCTGTCAGCTACCTTAGGGAAAAAATTAACATCAACAACGAACAGCCAGCAGAGCCACATTTGTCCCCACCAATCAATCATGTTAGGTTTTTTTTTTTTTTTAACAGCCAACTGATGCTACAAAAAGTGGGCAAGTGCAGGAGAGTACTAGCCTGGGCTTGCATATATTTTCAGGGACAACTCCCAATTAATCTGCACGTAATTTGAGTGAGCATGAGATAAATTCTCTGCAGGTCACATTCAAATTCCAATGTAAAGCACTTACACATGCGCTGATGAACACTTCGTAAACGAAGATAACTCTGTGATCATCCTCTGTATGTGCACAGTGGTCAATCTTTAACCAGCACAGCTACTGAAACAGACTCTCAGGCTAACGGTATGCATGACAAACATATGTTTAACCGTTCAGTTATTCAGCTTTTAATGGATGAACAGTCACTGGTTAGACAAGACCTGTAACTTCAAATGGCTTTCAATGTGGATCCAGAGCAGCTTCTGTTGGAGAGCATTGTTTACACTGGTGTTGTCTTCGTCTCCCTGCAGAGCTCGAGAACAAATCGAGATCAAACCCCCCGACCGTCGCACATGACAGCCTCGGTCAACAAAGCAGCTCTGACAAAGCTTCATTCACAGAGAAAAAAGAGCATTTCAATCCATAATATTAAGATCCTCAGAGCTGTATCAAAAGCACAAGGGTGTGAATCTTGTACAATTTTCAAAGATGTTTACAAGTGCAGTCCAGAGGAGATAAGGATACTACACTCCCTGAATTCAAATCTCACCTCAGTGAAATAACATTATAACCAGCTAAACGTACTTATTAAGGTAGCTTAGAAAAAGAAGGCTACTCTTTGTGTTGCCTTTGATGGAATTCTTCTGAAGCAGCATTTTATTGTTATAATTGGAGTACACAAGTGTGTATACTTTGGCTTCTTTATACCTATTTGCTTTTGGATCCAGCACCAACTTAAGGACATGCAAGTCTGTGAACCACTTTATACACTATTGAGAAGTTGAATCTATAATATTACACCATATTTATTAACATGTCACATGTTGATCATAGAAGCAGAATGGAGTGTAACTTTAGCTGTCACATGAAATGTTAAAAGTAATGTAGGCCTATAGTGAATTAGAATTAATAAACAACAAATGGAACCTCAATAAGTCACCTCTGTGATGATTAAGTAGCCTGCTTAAGTGGCCTTCATGTTTGGTCATCCTGTAGGCTATATCTGCCATTAGATTTAGGCCTATCCAGTATTCTATTGCAGACCACAACATTAAAGCAAAGCCATTAAAATACAACCTAATTGTCAACATTTTTAAGAATTGAAAAGAGTTTATTAACCATGATGTAGCCTATTTTTGAACTCCTAACATAAACTTCAAAACTTACAGAATCTGTAAAAAGGCTAGAGGTAGACTACGACCTCTACTCACCGTTTATGAAAATACTTCAGGTATTCAGTCGGTGACAGCTTTGTGTTAAACACAGACGCCCCGATACAAGTGATCCATTTTGGCATTAAAACATCCAACGACGTCGACGGAGGGCTTTCCTACAAATCACAACTCCTCTCTGAATCCTTTAGTGCGTCTGAATTATTCACAAAATGAAATATTTCGGGAGTTAACCGGCAAATATGTAGTCTGAATCCAATAATGTTTTGCTGATCCTCACAGGCGCTGTCGTGATCGACCTGTGTGTTTGAGGATCTTTTCTCTTCTGACCACACCTCTTCTTCCTGAGTTTCTCACCTGAGCAGCTCTGGCAGTCAGACAAACTGAACCTACCTTCACAGAATAGATGATGACATTAAGATGATAGATTAATGCCATTAATCATCGGCACAAATCACTCATTTAGGTCAATGTGGTAATGTGGTTTAACTGGAAACACACCAGATTATTGTTTACACAGAAATTCCAAACAAGTAGGCAACAAGTTAAATATTATAATGTAATTTGAAAGATAGTTCATAAAATGTTAGATCCTGTAAACTATCTTAAACAAGGTAGAAATATGCTAATTTACAGTTTATGTTTGTTTAGCATCTAAAACTAAAGGATTGTTTATTGTTGAACCTGTTTCAGGCCTATAGCTAAAACTACATGCTAGCTCAGGGATGGGCAACTTTGGTCACAGCAAGGGGCCACATTCATTTAATTCTCACTGCCAGAGGGCCAAATTGTAGTATACAAAAAACGATTACAGTCAATTATGTCTCAAATTTAACTCAACATATACCAGTGATCAAATATCATCATGTTTTCTTCATGTTTCCAATTAATTGATATGTAAAAATTGACCTGAGGGCCACGTTGAGGGTTGATGGGGGCCGCCAGTTGCCCACCCCTGTGCTAGGTTATGAGGTGCACTCTATCTAGCTAAAGCTTGTATTTGTACCCTATGGCTTGTATGCTACTTAAAACCAAAGCTAGTTTCAACAAACACTACATTGTTTGAGTTTGTTGTTTAAATGGTTTAAGTCATCCCAAGCAAGTAGCCTATAGCATATTGGGTCGCATATATGAAGTTAAACATTATCTTTAGGTAGGCTACACAAACTGTAGGCTACCTTGCTTTAACTGAATCTCTTTTAAGTAGGCTACACTTTTAAGTAATGTACTCGACTAAAGGCTCCAACTAGGCTAGCTGAAGTGTTAGCTTTGAGTTTTCATTTGACTTATGTTCCAACAATAAACCCGGTCTTTATAAAGCCTACATTTGAAACTCTTAAAGTGTAACCTTAACAAAATGCTCATTTTGGAGGCTAATGCAATTATTTCCTTTTTTTAAAGTGTAGCCTACTTTTTTTTTACAACCCTAGGCCTATACATATTGATAAATATGCTGCAGACAACTCAGTGAAATACAATACAAGTCGACTGTAGGATAGCCTATCACAAAATGTCAGTCTTTAAAAATAGAATTTTACCAAAATATGATAGCCCACCATAAGGCTAGCAGATGAAAAAACAAACACTTTAAGACAGGGCAATTCTTTCTGACTGCGTTATTCAGCTATAACTGTATACAGAATAAATTATAATTCAGTATGATAAAAGAAAACATTTAAACAATTAAAAAATCTCAATTGTCTTATGATTAGCCTATAAAGCGTAATTTGTAGAGTTTTTCCAACTTTATTAAATATAGGTCATCTTTTATTCTTCTTCCATGACGTATGCTACACTTTATAACGTTACCTAAGTCATGACTGGTGTCCAAGTAAGTACAAATAATGCTTTTAATCCATCCATTGACCTTCTTTATTTCTTGTATGGACTCATATGAAACTTGTCATGAGCCATGAGTCAGAGATTCAAATGTGTTTTTTGTGTCACAGTCTTTCTCTCCGCCATACCTGCTGCTGCCAAGCAAGTTTGACCGGATTTCTTTTTACACTTCACTCGTGGCTGTTCTTTTGAATGAAAACCAGGTAACACAGTTGACCTGCCTGCACTTTGCACTTCCTGGTACAGTACCTCTCCTCCCTCTCTGAATTACTCAATACACACAATAGATTTCTATAGAGCCATTCAAAGGACTCCCTAGTTTCTCTGCACCGTAAGCTATGAAGTACAAGGCAGTGTTTTTGTCACAAGTTAATAATGACATGTCAGCAACTTAAAATAATGACACGAGCAGATAATGTCAATTGGTGATGCATTACAAACTACATAATGTCACCCTTCAGCCTTTCAGCTCTTTAGACAATGACCTATTATTTACAGGACTTGATGAGTAGTTGTGTCTGCAGGACTAAGTGTATATGGGGAGGATGTTTAGGCTGCTGACTAAAGTCTCTGAGGCTTAAGCTCATTTGTGTCATTTTACCCTGTGGGAATCTCTCACCGCCTTGTTTCAAGTGCCTGAGAGACAGACAAACTGTAAGAGTGAAGGGACCTGGCCTATGAATCACTGAAAAATGCAATATTAGTTGTTTGAATATATGGCAATGGAAATACTGAGAAAGAGCAGAGAGAAATGTGATCGTTTTCTAACTTGTGTGTTTAAGAGACATATAGTATCAACCAAAACTGTCAAAGGAATGAGTTGTCAACCAGTGAGTATCTATAGAACTTACCAGACAGAAATGTGAACTCTCTGAGGTGAATGGAAAAGAAATAAGACACGTGACGTATGACAGTGGAACAAAGGGAGAACAATTATGAGGCAAGTTGATTCATATGTTTGTATTATTGACCTAAAAGGTCAAGAACTTTATACTAAGACTGTCGATGATGTAAAGTAAATTAGTTATCCCCTCAAATCTTACAGAACTGCCATTCGGTTCGACATAAAAGGCACATTTAGGGCACATGCCTATAGAACAAGATATTATATTCTAACTTTATTAATATTATTATCTCCCAACAGCTTAAAAGACATCAACCAAAACACCACGAAAACACCATGAAAAAGTTAAGAAATTAATAATAAATGAATAAATAAATAAAAAAAATAATAAATGAAAAAAAAAAAATGAAAAAAAAATGAAAAAATTAATAATAAAAAAAAAAAAAAAGAAAAAAAAGAAAAAAAAAGAAAAAAATAAATAAATGAATAAATAAATAAATGTGTTTGTGTGTGTGTTAGTTCATTAGTCGGATAAAAACAAACACTTTTTTGGCTGCTGATTAAATCCAGACCAGAGTTACAGCGCCCTCTGCTGTTTGATTGTAATATTGGATACTTGTCGGCAGTGTGAACACGTCATCGAAAGGCGACAGAGTCCTTTTTCAGACGTATTTGTGGAATATGAACCTCAGCCTTTGTTTGATATGATTAAATGTCATTTTGGGGAATTCATCTAACTCATTTTACGACAAATGTTTATCTGCTCCATGTGCAATCCTAAATAAAGTCCCCGGAAGTGACTTTCTTCATGTGTAAACACATGGCTTGAAGTCGTGCCTGACGCTCATCATGCCCAAACTGTTTGACATAAAGTTTCCAGGAGGGTGTAAGACTCTTCCTGAAGGCTTTTGGTCGTCGGTGGACGTGTGGATAAAGAAACCTCACGTTGTAAACAAACGTGTTTGCGGAGTGAAGGAGACGGAGAGTGAAGATGTGGGCAGAGAGGAGCTGCTGTTTCTGCTCCAGGATCCTGAACTCTCTCTCCATGTGTTTTCTTTCTTGGATGGCAGAGATTCACCTGCGCAGACACATGCCCAGGAAAAAGCCTGGACTTCCAGTGTCAGAACATTTATCCCTAAAGTCAACAATTATGGGGCAACCCTGCATAAAGAAGTGATTGTCAAAGGTAAGAGTGGGACTGAATGAAGAGAAACCTCTGCTGTCTGATGACACCTTTTTTTAAAACCACATGTTTGTGTCTGTTCAAGACTTTCGCAGACAACAGGTGACCTTTCTTCCATTTGAAGAGGATTCGGAGAAAAAGGTGACTCTGAAGAGGGGCAACATTTATCAGATCCAGCTCCTCCATCAGGACTGCGAGGAGTGGTGAGTGGAAACCAGATGTTACAAACTTTTATTTTGAAATCCCAATACCTTGCCTCCAAATAAATGACTTAAAGGAGACATGATGAAACACATCTTATGAGACTTTGTCAGGCAAATAACTGACTCTTGTCCTCTGTGTCCTCAGACGACAAAACATTTCGCAAATATTTACACATTGAAGTTAAGTAAGAGAACATTTTCACTTTATTTTAATTACAACAAACAAACACATTATTTGCTGTCACACCATTTAAAAGGTTTCTAGAAAAATTCGATACATATTTTTTTCCCAAACCTTCTTAATAGCTAACACAGAATCAGCTTTATTGGCCAGGTACACACACACACACACACACACACACACACACACACACACACACACACACACACACACACCAGGTATTTGACAGCGGTGAACTGTGCTCTCTATGTACAAAAGTACAACACTGACTAACAATACAAACTGAATAAGCAAAGACTAAATATATGTAAGGCTAAATGAGACAACAGTGCAAAATCCTGAGTAACATGATAATAAAATGTTCTGATGTAACAGATGGTTTAATAACTTCATATACATGTAACATGAGGTAGAGAGCCATATTAACATGAATGTGTGCGTAGAATAAAAATCAGATGAGGACAATAATACAGTATTTACATGATTGTGTTTGTCCATTAAAAAAAAAGTTTAAATAATCGTATGTACACTCACATTGTTTAACACATAAACTGTAAACACATATTTGTCCTCAAATCGATTCATTAAATAGTTATTATGAAGATCTGCTGAACGCTCATCTGGATGTCAGCATGTGGATTAGAAGCATGAATGTATCGCAGTGAAAAAAAAGAATTGGACAAACGTGTAATCAGTGCTCAGTTTTGTGCATAACGCTGTGATATTCTAGAGATTGTTTGCATTAGCTTCTGGGTAGTAGTTGTTGTTGTATACTGATGCATTTGTTTGAAAAAAAGAAGTGCTCATTATACATGTCAGGATAGTAAATGAGAACCGTGTCTCTGCCTTCTGACCTCGGCAGTTTAATGTTTATCTTGACAGATTTGCAAATAATATTAAGTCTCTGAATCTGACGGCTGAACTCTTGTGATGTGTTAAAACAGGACAGTGGGGGAACAACAACGGTGAAATATTGTCATGCAGTCATGCGGGAAATCTGTCAGTGTTCAACAATCTGTCTTCTAATGAACAACAGGCTTCTAGTTAATTAAACAGGACACAAATGTTCCTGCATTGCAAATAGAAGAAATGATCCCAGCGTGTCAGCGTGTTATATTAGGTCACAGAAAGTGTTGCTTTACCTGCAGGAGCTTGGAGCTGCACGCCTTGACTCCAGACGCCTGGTTCTCTGACGGCGTTGCGTACCCAAAGCTGCCCTGGCTGTCCTCTGACCTTCTGCCCAAACTGGTCCGCTGGGCCACCGAGTGCAGGAGCAGCGAGTTCAAGAGCACGTTGTCTCTGCTGCCGGTGGAGAAGTACAGCGTCATGTACCAGCAGCTGAAGGAGAAGTACAAGGCCATGGTCAAGGTGAAGTCAGGTCAGAGTAACTCCTGCTGGTTTAGAGTTCTCATAATCATGTTGGGTTTTTCATATTTATTTCTCATATTTCCTTCGAGGTTTGGCCTGAAGTTACGGACCCCGAGAAGTTTGTCTACGAGGATGTAGCCATCGCCTCCTATCTGCTCGTGAGTTCGAGAGCATCGACGCACCAGATGATGAAAAGTCCTCACGTCTCATTAGCCGCCTTTGCATTTATTTTTTAACGTGTACGACCGCTGCCGAGTACACAAACATGTCCATACATGCGGGTGAAACTCATTTTAATATCCGCCACATGTTGTGCAGGTCATGCAATCTAAAGCTGGGTCAATCCATTCTGAGTGTGAAAAATAGCTTTGACCCAGTAAATCAATTCAAAGCAGTGGCAGGTGAAAGGGTGTCAGCAGCAGCAGCAGCAGCAGCAGGTGTCACCCTGCAGATGTGAATTGGCTTTGGCTAACCTGATTGAAAGCTCTCATGCACACACAGGATTATTGAGTCTGTGTCTTTGAACTGCAGGTGCTGTGGGCCGAGGAGCGAGCAGAGAGAGGCCTGACTGCTCCACAATCCTTTGTGGACCTAGGCTGTGGAAACGGCCTCCTGGTTCACATACTGACCAACGAGGGGGTGAGTTGATGAAAGTTAGACCACATGCCCTACAGAGAGTGTTTTTTTTGGAGGTCTCTAGCCCCTGTGCATGGGGCGCGCACTCGAGGCTGCAAGCGGCCCAGTGAAAATGCGCTTGAAAAAGAGAGGTTAATGTGTTTAAAGAAGAAAGGGAAACATCTTCATGATACATTCCTTCTGATGAGTTCAGGTTGAGCCGTCCGTTTTCAAATGTAGTTTGAACTTGTTGAACTCCGGCCCTGTGAGCAGATGTCGCCCCCCCCCCACCCCTGCCACATTAATCGATGCTGCGGGGCTTGAGGGAGTCGAGGTGAGGGGATTCGCGTGTGAATAAATTACATCTCCAGTTTTACCGTGTCTTTCCTGATGACCAATCACAAACTGGGTCAGGTCTAATTGAAATGACACACGGTTGTTTGATAGTCGGAGTGTGAATGCTGTGTTAAGTGGGCTGACCGTCACGCCGTCTCGTGTTGCAGCATCCTGGAAAGGGCATCGACGTCCGGAGGAGGAAGATCTGGGACATGTTCGGCCCCGGCACTCTGCTGGAGGTGAGTGAATTCAAAGAGGGGGGCGGCAGTAGCCGAGTCTGTGGGGACCTGGGTTGGGAACCGGAGGGTTGCCGGTTCAGGTCCCCGTATTTTGGTCCCAGTTGCGGACCAAAATACGGAATTTGGTCTGGTAGCTGGAGAAGTGTCAGGGCACTTCCTGAGTACTGCAGAGAGGTGTGTTCCCTGCATAGCAGTGTGTAGCAGCCCCCACTCTAACGTCTCTCCACTAATGCATGTTCACAGATTGTGATTCAGGCCTCTGTGTGCGAGAAGCATGTCTCTCAATAGCAGAGTGTAAACTAGAATCTCCCTCAGGGATTAATAAAGTCTTTCAAATTAAAAAAAAAAAAAGAAAGAAAAGAGGGCGGATTCATGTTGACCACATTCAGGTTTTTAATGAGTGTAGTTACCGATCACAACAAACAGTAAGTCTGTAGGTGTCACCGCCTCAGTGCTGCTGCTCTGTGATTGGATTAAAAGAGGTTTCACTTTTTAACAGTTTAAACTGTTGGTTCTTTTCTTAATATGATAATATTAATATATAAATGTATATGGAGTATGTCTGTTTTTTTTCCAGAGAGGCTCGTGATGAATCTTTTGAATTAAATTTCAGTCATGAAAACTTGACTTTATGGATGCTTTTATTATGAAATAAGGGAAAGCGTTCTGCCTTTTGTAAGGACAGGAAAGGCAACTTTATTTATAAAGCACATTTCATGCACAAAGGTGATTCAAGATTCAAAAAACGTTATTGTCTATCACATATAGTGACAGAAAAAGGACCTTTGGTTGAGGTTCAGTAACATAAAAGCATACAAACATTCACACTTATAAGACTCATATGAAGTCATGAAATAACAAAAAGTTCCATAAATACATAAAAGCACATTTGCACAGTATGTTAATAGTATTCCTCATCTAACCTTGTTTAAAATGTGTATTACAGTGTGAGGAAAAGAGTTTCTGTGCATTTACTTTTTTATTATTTTTTTTAGCTAATGTTACTCTGAAGTCAAAATGAAGGGGATGGACAACAAACAGCAGGCTGCTTCCGTTCCAGGTCATCTGTTGTTGCAGATTTTTGCAGAATGGATGTGAAGGACCTGTTTTCTTGTCCTACAGAGACACTGCACTCAGCCTCAGACCTTTATTTTGAAGGTTTCTTGAAACATCACAAGCCAGCTTTTCGGATTTAATAACCCATATTCTACTCATTTTCAAACATGTCACACCGACATGTGTTCTCATTTACTAAAAGTTTTGAAAGTTAAAAGTTTTCCTTTTTTGAAAAATATCTATTAAGGGATTCAGAATGAAGTCGTCCCGTTGTGCATATTCCACCGCTTTAAGGAGCTCTTGTGCTTTTTGGCTCTCTGCTATTTCAGGAAAAAGCAATTACTCCCAGCGAGGGCTTCTTATTCCCGCGTACGGACTGGCTGATTGGGAACCACTCAGACGAGCTCACGCCGTGGATCCCTGTTATAGCAGCCAGGCGAGTCTTCATCAGCAGGCACAATCTCACTCAGCGGCTCGAGTGCCAGCTGATCTCTCCAATTTGGAATTACATTATGTGCAGGAGGAGGATGTGTGAATATGTGTGTGTTTGTTCCTGCATGGCCTAATGTCTGTGTTTCCTGAAGTCACCACCTGAGGGCGATGTTGAGCCTTCATCTGAGACTTTTCCCCTCTGTGACAGTAGTAAAGGATTGTTGTGTCCTGACTCTTAAAACACAATCTCACTTAAAGGAACACCGACAGCTAATCATTTCATGATATTTACCACGACAGATTCATTGTGGTGTAGTCAAAGTAAGAATTTGTCTCTCCCTCTCTCTCTCTCTTCGCAGGTCGTCTTACTCCTGCCGCTTCTTCGTCCTGCCCTGCTGTTTCTTCGACTTCTACGGGAAGTACCAGAGACGCCAGTGTAAGAAGTCCCAGTACAAAGAATACATCGACTTCATCGCGGAGGTCAGCGGGGTCAGTGGCTTCATCACGGAGGAGGACTGCCTGAGAATACCGTCCACCAAACGGGTAGGTTTAAATAGTCCAGAGGTAGAGCGAGACTCCTCAGATCATTTGACTTCCTACATTTATGTTCTCTGTGTCACACCTTTAAAACTCTCTTCTTTCTTAAATCTAGACTTTCTTTAACCCGGCTCTCCCCCCGCACTTTAATGATAACAAATCCAGCTGTCTGTGTGACCTAGTGGTTTTGTTATTACAAGCCACTTCACTTTCTTCACATGAGTACGGTCCATCTTTATCATCAGCTGTCAAGTTATTTAACATTACAAGAAATTATGCATTATTTCACTTAAAGTTGAAGAGACACATGATCAATGATCAAACTTAATGCTGCAGAGTCTCAAAGAATATGTCGAACTACATGTAGCACTGATGTCATTTAATTTAATGGGGAAAATATATCATAGCGTTGGGCTTTGTTGCTTCGTCCCCCACTTCCTCTTTGTTTGTTTTTCTTTTCATCATCATCATGCCTCCTGACATCTCCTCCCACCTGTCTGATACAGATCGCCTCCTGCTGTGAGGTGCATGTGTGAACAAGCACTTCAGAAAGATTTCAGAGGCTGGCTGTCTGACATTTTTAAGAAAATCACGTGGAAACAGCTTAAGGAACCCGGTTTAATCTATAAATACAATAAACTGCGATAACCTTTATGACGATTTAAGTGTTTTTTCACCGATTTTTTTTATGTTCTTTTTAAAGCAACAAAAGTCATCACATATCCTTTTTATGGAATCTGAAGTAGTTGAAATCACTAAAGTGTATAAAGGATTGTTGGTGTAACTTGATTTAGTGCTTGACTGTCGGCTGTGAAGTCACATTAAAGCAGAAAAGAGTGGGTCGAACTTCCACTTTCATGTGAGGTGTGTTTTTGAGGGAAGAAATATCTTGACTTGATGGATTAATTTAAAAGTATATGTTTAGGAAAATATAAATCTCATGCAAAAAAAAGGCTCGATAAACTCTTTAATTTCATTTGAAGGATACATTTAGAGAAGGACTGATTCCTATGAATACAGGATATAGAGAGATTTCATTTTCTCTCTTTTGTTTACTTAAAGAGGCTTAAGAGAGGCTGTAATCTCTGACCTGTGGAAGATATCCTAAAAAGAACTTTAAAAAGTACCATATTTCTTAGCGTTAGTTGTAAATTATGAGTGTTTCATATTCTAGTTGATGTGTATCTAGCTTAGCTTCCCACATAACTTTTCTGAGTACTGGCAGCGTGTTAAAAGCGTGTACTTTGTGAAGTGCATTTTTACCGCCCACTGATCCTTTCAAACATGTACATTTACATACACCATGTAGGTGTGACTGTGACTTTTGTCGCATGTAATCTCTTTTTTATCTCATATTGTTTCCAGTCTTTCTCCACGGTAACTTTCCAATGAACGTCATTTTACCTACAAAGTGTATTTCTCTTCTTCTTCTTCTCCACCTGATCCTTGTTTAGCACAGGCAGACAGAGATAAAATCAAGTGTTTATCACCCCCAAAGGGACATTTCTCTCTCAGCTGGTACCATTAACAGCTTTGATACAGATGGACACATAAAGAGAACAAGCTAATATTTACTGGGCTCTTAATGGAGGGGATCAGTCATAATCAGCATGTTTTTTTTTATAGCAGATGTTAAGAAGTTGTTCCTGCACCAAAAGAATGGTATTGTTGCTGCATGTTCTTTCCGAATGTTACAAATAGAAGATTTGTTGTTATATTTTTGGTCTAGTTTTAAAGTTTAAGCAGCACCCCGGCCGCCCTGACCTTTAATGCTTCTCTCCCCAGGTGTGTCTGGTGGGAAAGTCAAGAAACTACGAGCTACCTGATGGAGCCGAAGCTGAGCAGCGAAGAGCTTGTTACGTTCAAAGCCGCCAGGCAGCCTCAGGGGTCAACGTTCAAGGGTCACACATCGGAAATGATGGGGACTGTTCCCTTGGAAACATAGAGACTGGCAGGACCCCCGGGAGCAGCTGGGGAGCCGGGTTCCAGCCCAGAGACAGGGTTGAAACGGTTCGAAACTGTGCTGCTCTCCCGCGGGATTTTGTCGATCGCGTTGTCCTGCGCGTTGCTAATGTGCTTCTGGGAATGACCGATGATGGCGGCAGGGAGTCCACCAGCGCCTGGAACAGAGGAGGTAAACCACACAACAGCCAAAAATACTACAAACAAACAAACAATAATAAAAATATCCCAATATTTGGCTTGATACTGTTGGAATGAACAGGTTCAGATCCAGATTTATTAAAGTGCACTTCAGGAGTTACAGAGTTCATTTGTTGTACATTTTAATTAACTAAAAGCTTTATTGCTTAGCTCGGAGCTAAGCAAACCTTTTCCTCATACAGTACGTGACTGAAATTAGCTTCTGCTTCATATATTTGTAATATTAAAAAACTAACTCGGTTTATGTGACAAAATGCCAACATTTTAAAATGGAAAAATGTTTTGGATACAGGCAAAATAGGCACATTCGATAAGTAAGTTCAGTTTCATCTTAGGCTAAGGCTAGCAGTAGTTTTCTTACTAGCTAGCTTAAACTTGGTTTCCAGCTAGCTTTCTAGCTGGAAAGTGTAGCAAAGTGGTAAATAGTGGTTGTTACTTTTTCAGATAAACAGGTCTTAAACTACACATTTTTCGTCATCATGACACTTCTGATGTCCAACATTCGATTTGGTTACAGACAGTCGAAAAGGATTTGCTTTATAAAAATATGAATTTACAGCATCTTAGAAAAAGGTATCTGTTTTTATGCTAGCTGACCTGAAACCTGCCAGAGGGATTATTTTTCATATATTCTGACAGGTGGTAATTTCTCTCCCCAGGCAGCTCTAGATGTTTCATAAGCACCTGCAAAACAACGGGCATACATTTTCTTGTCAGTATCCTTAAAATATATTTCCCGGTGCCTCGTGGCTTCTACACCCTTTACCTCTTGTCTAATCTCCCCTTCATCATCCCATCTAAACCTCTATCCCCGACACCCTGTCCTCCCCTCTCGGCATCTGTCAGCAGGCCCCTCATGACACAAAGAGACGCTGCTTTGATCTATGCACGTCTTCCTCCGGCAGCCACTTCCTGCCGCGCACGCACACGCACACGCACACACACACACACACACACACACACACACACATCACCTTTGTCTAAGCCCCTTCGCCCTGCTGCCACACAGACGCACACAGTATAATGTAGGAAACGGAAAGAGGAATTCTATGATTAAAACTGAAAATTCTGCAGGATTTGGAAGCTGATATGAGTAGAAAATATGAGAGAGCTAGAATAAGGGAGTCTGCAGCTCTGTGTAGAGATGACTGGATGAATTATGCACCACCATGTATGATTTATGCATGAGTATGCATTTGTATTGAGGTTTCCTACCAGTTATCTGCTGTGTAAGAACAAAGAGTAAAGTCAGGGTGAGTCAGCCTAGACTGACGGGATCCAAGAGGGCGTCAGAGTCAGTGAAAGGACCTTGTGATTCTATTTAGAAGATAACTGATAATGTTATCCATCAGTTTGTGTAATATTTAGTGATACAGGAGCTTTATCTTGGTTATTTTGTGGCTAGGCTTTACAGAATGGCCACATTTTGATTGTGAGACCCTAGTCTCTTTTTCTTTCTAATGCAAGTACAAACAGATCTTAAAAAAACACACATTGACCTGATAAACACCTGTGTCTGCAGCTTGCGCCTTTTAACTTCCTGTTAACTTTACAAATTAAAGCTTTAATATAATAAAACACAAACAGTTATTGAAAAAAGGCATTGATTAAAGGTCACATGTTCTCCTCCTTTTCAACCAGTTTAAATAAGTTTTAGAGCTCTGAAAAACATGTGTGTGAAGTTTCTTGTTCTAAATCCACTCTGATCCTGTATTTGATCATGCCTATAAACCCCTCTATTTCAGCCCTGCTCAGAGCAGGCTGTTTCTGTGTCTGTAACTTTAAATATGTAAATGAGCTGTGTTTGACCATGCCCCCTCTCTGGAAGGGTTTGGGTGTACTCGGGCTTTCTCACTTCATGCCCAAATGTTTACGGCGAGAAGGCAGACTCAGACAACTAGTTGTGGAAGTGTTACCCACCTGGGGGAGGGGTTACTGCCCTTTGTGATGTCACAAAGGGACATTTTCCAAAAGGTCTGATTGAGCACACATTTTCTGAAAAGTGGAGCAGAGAAAAGACAGAGTGGATAGATTTTTTCATAATTGGGGGGGTTTGTAGACAGACTAGGGACACATATTAGTGTTAGAAAAACATGGTAAAGTGTATTTTGGATAATATGTGACCTTTTAAAGCTAAAGAAGTTGCACTCCTTATCTTGACTATTTTGCATATTGTTCTTTTAAAAAATGGTCTAGTGGACATTATTCTGACAGGTATTTCCTGATTGAAATCAAGGAACCTTTCTTAGTCATGTTCTTAGTCTTAGTCATGTTTTTCATTTAGGCAGAGTTCATTATTTGAAAACAGTGTGAAGCTATTCAAGTCACATCTAGCTCTTACAGAGCATCCTATTTGTGCCCTGAAGAAACGATGCTATTTATATCTCTGTCTTTTTATACGGTTTACATGTGACGTCTGCCAGTGTAGCTTAAGGAATTTCCTTATTCATGCATGCTGTTCTGCTGACTCTTAGTTATGTAATTGTGCTGAAAGTCTGTATGCAACTTCATCTAACATGCATTACTCTCAATCTCAACCCTGCTTTCTTGGACATCTTTATCTAAAGGTACAGCACGTAAAAAAGTCACATGGTAACACGTGGATGTAAATTCTCTGTGCACATATTGTCTGAGCTGCAGTGTACAAAAAAAATGCTTACAAGAGAGAGGGAGTGGGTGAAATGTATTATTATAGGTAGGAGTCCTGAAAGCATTTTCTTTTGATAATTTAAGCTCGCTATCCTCCAGGAGAGCCTGCAGTAAATTGAGCATCCCAGAATCCTCTTCTTTCACACCTACAGTCCTCATTAATCTGACCTTGACTCACCTCACACCTGTCTGTAGGATAACTATTTGTTCTTTTTATAACAGAAGTAACAATTAGCCAACACAAATGTATTCAGCAACTAAATTATAAGTCGTGCTTAATTCATAAATCTTTGGTTAACGATTCCCAGAACTTAATATTTGCTGCTGGTTTGAGTAGTTTCAACTCAGTACTTTTAAATAGTAGATTTGAAGATGCCAATGTTGGCTTTGGGAAATTTGTATTCTGCAGTATTTCGTGACATTTTAAGTGGCAAACTCTAAGGCTGCATGGTTTGAGAAAAAATATACAATGTGCCAGAAAATTGTTCAATGTTGCGACATCGACGTGTCATGCAATAAATCACAAAAAATTAGCTCACAAATGTCCACCTGCTGCTCTTCATGTTTCATACAGTACCTGTGTTTGCAGCACGTCCCTGCCATAGACTGTAAATATTAATGGTCGAAGCCTGAGTGACGTCACTCATCTGTTACTGCGGTGGGCTCTGGAGGCTCATCAGCAGCAGCCACCATGCTGGAAATCCTGTCTCAGCCAAACTTTCAGCTAGCCTAACAACAGGCTAAGAGCTGGAGCTGAGGCGGGTTTCAAGCCTACAGACAAAACGCTAAACTGCGCCCGCCGTCAATCAGGTCAGACACGTGTAGCTATTTAACTATGGATGACACGTATAGTTTATAGTTTAGAGTTATAAAACATTCACCCCTTGTACAGTGTGTGCCCATGAGGACAATAACTAATCAGACCAATATGATTTGTTGTACGCGGCTGTGAACATGTTATATTCTGCCGGATTTGCACTTCGGCTTTGGCTTCATTTATCAATACCGAAGGCGGCTTGGTCTCTGCAGAATCCAAAATAAATCAGAGAAGGATTTTTTTTCACCACTTACTTGGCACCAGTTCATGTGAGGGTAGCACATAACTAACATGAGCTTCGTCTGACTGCATCAAAACGGAGTGAAAGCACGACCATTCTACTCAGACCTCTGTCCAAATGGTAAAATGTACACATTCTGAAATCATCATCAATAAATTCACACTTTTGCCAATAATTTATCCTGGATGTCCGCAGTCCTACATTTTCTACTACAATAACGGTTGTAGACTGAAGTGTATTTCATTGGTTTTCCTGTTTACATCATGAAGCGATTGAAGGTAGAGTAGTTGCAGTAGATTTAAACAACTTCTTTTTGGACCAAAGAGTGATTTATTCCAGGTAATCATCTTCTGACCCTTTGGGAAGGCTCGTACTGAAGGTTATGTAAAGAGGGTTTTGATTGGCAGTCCAAAAAAACCCCAAAAAAAACCACAAGCCGTCCTGTGTACTGAAAAGGATCCTTTAACATGTTTTATCGACCACTCAGCAATTTTTTCAAGCTCATTTTCCCCCACTCAGCCTGATTCTCAATTGGCCAAAGCAGCAAACACAATCAGCCACAACGGGCAATCAATACATGGACATCTTAGTGTGCTGCACAGGGGACGCCCAAGCTTAAAACAGTCAAACAGTACGATGAGCGGAGCCATTAATAGTCGCCTCTGATGGTCTGAGTCCAAGCAGAGTCTACTCCCTTCCTACGGCCCTTCGTCCATTAATCTCCATTAACATGTAGGCAGTAAAGGGCAGCTCTAAATGCTGTATTGATATTGTATTACGGCCTGGAGCTCCCTGGTGTCTGGGCGGTAGGACGGCAGACCGCCCAGATTCACACTCGCAGCACAGGACTGTGTTTGGCTGTTTGAGTGTCTGTGAAAGTGGGAGTGTGTCGCATACTTTCGGGATTATCTGGACCGTCTAAATTTAGGACGTGTTCGGGCCGACAATATGTTTTCTCACAAGTTTCAGTGGCATAGAGACAAATAAAAAGAAAAAAAGAAAGTGAAACCACTGTGATTAAACTTGCATATAAAACCCCGCACATTAACATTAACTCTGAAATAGTACACTCTTATGTTTGACCGATTGAACTTGAACGAGACACTGCACTTCACAATGCGACGCTTTCAAGTTCAATCATCTCCGAGGTAGCGGGGATTTCCTGAAGTGCCACCCGAGATTAAAGTCAAATATTGTTACGAAACGCTATAAAAGAGCTTCAGAAATCCTGTGGTGTGTCCCTCACTGATACGAGGAGGGGAGGGGAGTGGAGGGGGGGGGGTTGTCATTTGTACGAACCAAAGGTCAGCCCTGATTGAATTCTCGTCAGGGGAGGAGAAAGGGCACAGCCAGAAATACAGACATTCTCATAAAACAGAGCTCAAAGGCGAGATCCTGTGAACACAAAAACATCTATGCTTACTATTCTCCCAACCTGGAGCATATGATTCTGTGTTTTCAGGACCCATCCTTTCTGTTTTTTTTTTTTTCTTTTTGCTCTTCGGTAGCTAAATTTACTGTCCCAGTGGGGGAGTGACGAGTATGACTCACGCTCTCGAGCGGCCGATGGGAGATGCAGCGGTGAAAATGCATGCTGGTTGCTCTGGCAGCTTGTTGGAGCGGCTTTAATTGAGCACACTTCAGCGCCCTGGCTAACACTGAAAGACACTGACTGAGGTTTTTTTTTTTTTTTCCTCCTTGTTAAATTTTCTATAAGTCCCGATGTATATATCAACCAGCTGTACAGTGGATAATAATTATTTTAGTGCGTGCCTGAAGCAGCATGTTAATATATTGATGAATGTAACATGGACAGACCTCCTCCCGCTTCTTTGTCACTCTGTTCTTTCATCCTCCCCCCCCCCCCCCCCCACCCTCCCAGGAAGCCTCTCTGTGAGCGAGGTTGCCGGCCTGTTGGAGCAGGAGGCCCTGCAGCTCCTGAAGAAGGAGTGTGGAGGCCTTCAGACGCTGCTCAAGAACAACCACCAAGTCTTCAGAGGTAGATAGACTGCACACAACTACATTCATCAAATCCTTTTTATCGCTTCAATTCACATTTGAAATCATGTTTATAATGTGTGCAAGCTTCCTCGGCATAGTAAGGAAGGAAAAAAGGAACACTTCTTTATATCTAACGGCCGTCGAGTTAGATTATTTCAACTTCAAGTTTCAGTCGGTTTGGCCTCAAGAATGGTCTAGCTGATGTTGCCATAAAGAAGATGTCGGCGTCAGAGCTGAAGCACGTCAATAATGCTTCATTGATTCAACTCAGAACAAAACAGAGTCCTTTTTTTTAACGTATCCGACATTAGACAGAGATTCTCAAAAGCAGCATAGCAGCCATAGCAGTAGGTCGCCCCTATCAACAACCCCGAGGAACCTACAAGACACGACAGCTCAGGAGATGTGGTTACTTAAGATTTACAGGTAGATCTTTCATCCTTCTCTTACAGTGGAAGGAGGGAGGGTTCACATCAGAGACTGGCGGGACAAGAAGTCTTCTCGGTCAGATGCCAAGAAGAAGCCCATTGCGCCTGGTGCCATGAAAACCCGCCCCTGCTGGTTCCATGACCACCATCCTCAGCGCTGCCCCCTGCAGGCGGAAGAGTGCCCCTTCGCCCACGGACCGGATGACCTCAGACCCTCAACCAGACCCCTAAAGAAGATGAAAAAAACCCTATCTTCTGAGTGACTGATTCCTTCTTGAACACTTGAGCTCAGCTCGTTTCTTGAGTTGTTTTTTTAATTTGCAGAAGAACTTTTGTGACTACCTTTGTTTGCTCAGTGCATCAGTGGTTAAACCTGCTGTGGAAAAAAAACCCTGCAGCCAAGAAGAAGAAGAAGAAGAAGAAGAAGTCAGCTCGTAGCCATGTGAGTTTTATTGATGCGACATGATTTCTGGGAAATGAGGTCTTCAAATTTTAAACAGCTTCTCTTTTTCATCTCTCACTCTTTGGAGCACGCTGACACCTGGGCTGCTGTTGTCTGCTGAGCTTTAATTTCAAGGGATTATTAATTAACTTCTGTACATCTTAGAAAAGTGTACACTTACTGTAGGCTATATATTAAAATTTATTTGAAGACACATCTTTGTTTATTCAATCATTATCTTGCTACATACCTCACTGAGACGGATAATTCAGCTCCGAGAGGGACTTTGAGGTTCACAGAGAGGGCGGAGGATAAAGAGCAGGCAACGTTTGAACAAAGTAAATGTTAGCCCTATGAATTATTTGTTGGCAGGAGTTGAGGGGTTAGCCGCGTGTCGTCCCCCTCTGGACGGGTGGTCACTGCTGCGTCTCTTTAGCTCAGCGTGCCTTCACACTGTGGCTCAAATGTCAGAGACAGTAAGGCCCACTCACCCGGGGGACTGCTGCGGGGGGGGGGGGTCTGTTTTTTGTTCATGTGAGCGGCAGCAGTCTGACCATTGACGCAATAAAGGACAGAAATGCTTTAAATTTTACAATCCGAAAACTTTTCTCCTTCATTTGTTGCCGTCAGTAAACATATCTCACAATGCGCTGTGTGCAGGAATCTCGCTGTAGATGATTGGATGTCTTGGATGTCTCTGTCTGTAGTTTCTAGTCACAAACCTGAAAATAATCAACTAATCGACACTTACATTTGAACTTCTTTCTTCTGCAGTTGTGTCTTTCTTGAAGCTTCTTTATGTAAGAACAAAAAAAACAGGAATAGGTCAAATGTTTTAGAGGACAATGATAAATATACTCGTTACATAGCATGCCATACCGCCATATAGTGTTGTAGTCATGAGCGCACTAACCAAGACCGAGACATACCCGAGACCAGAGTGCTCGGAGTTCTAGACGAGACCGAGACATTTAGGGATAGCGACCAAGTCAAGACCTGAAAAATCACTGAAAACAATGATCATCTTGTGTTTAGGGGGCTTGTCACTCACTTAGACCGTAACACCGCGAAGGTTGCAGCTGTAACCGGAGGATAAGAATCAAAAGGGGTGTTTTTCTTCTGATCACAGTAATGATAGAAAAAAAACTCGATTCAGAGACGAGACCTTCAAAAAGTTGTCCCGAGACCGGTCTTGAGACCCTGAACGATTTTGAGTACTACAACACTAACCATCCCATACTCACTGTTTTGTGGATAAGGAATGACTACTTTTAGTTTCAATTCATTACAAATAACTTTATTTATCTGTTAGGAACTTAAGTTTGTGTAAAAAAAAAAAAAGCATCAGTGCGCATACAGCTCACATAAATGACAGCAGAGCACATAAAACAAACCACACACACACACACACACAATGATGTATTACAGATTAGCTATGATGCTAAAACTCTAGGGTTAAGAAAGAATAAACATTCAAGTTAACTACCAATGAGGGCACAGCCAGACGCTCTCTCCATCTGCCGCCATGACAGCCCCATTTGTTTGTTTGGTAACATATATTCAACCTAACATCTCAAAAATCTGTTATCATCTCAACTTATTGAGTCATATTTTAGTATCATAATTGGAACTAAGGTCTTATTCTGTCTTTATCTGTTTATTAATGTAGTCCAAATATGGTTTTGACCTCATAAATCATCACTTTGGTGTATTGTCCTCACTTAAAACTATCTCATAATCTTTACCAACCAGCAGATGTTTTCACTGTATGATTCTGGATCTCATAATTTGTGGCTCGACGGGCCCCACATACAGAAGCCCTTGTCCTCGGAGTGCACGGCCCTGGTTGGACTCTGACCCGCCGCACTTAACTTTTCTTCTGTATCTATTGATTTTGACTCATTACGTTATATGTTTGCCCTCATATCTTACAAAATTATGACTTCAGTTTATGTATTTTGGTATTTGATCATTTTGCTTTTTCAAAGTTTCACCTCGTAATCGTATCACTATCGTCACAGTCAAATCTGTTAATCCATCCATTTATCCATTATCTTTACTGCTTTTCCTGTTCTGGGTCATGGGGGGGCTGGTGCCGTTCCCAGCTGTCATTGGGCGAGACGCAGCGTTACACCCTGGACTGTTCACCAATCACTCACAGGACTGACATATAGAGACAGACAACCAGACACTCATTTACAACTACAGGCAAATTAGAGTCACCAATCAACCTAACGAGCATTTCTTTGGACTGTGGGAGGAAGCCGGAGTACCTGGAGAGAACCCACACATGCACAGGGAGAACATGCAAACTCCACACGCTCCTGGCAGGCGGGGATTCGAATCAGGAACCTCCTCGCTGTGAGGCAACAGCGCCGTTATGAGTCATTTACAATTAGAATGACTGTTTACACTTGTGCATGTCATAATTTATTGTTTTGACCCTAAATTCTTCTGAATTGTAATTCCATTATTCAAACTCCTATTCTGTATCTGTACAAAAAAAAAAAAAAAAAGACCAGACCTGATCCAGTAAAACTGCAGTGGATCCTGGCTCATGTGTTTAATTATTCTTTGTTTGGCGTCTCAGAGGGTAAAAATCCATAGTGCAGTTTAAAGGGACATCCTGGGGTTAGTTACACATGAGGAGACTGAAGCTCTGGCGTTCCCTCGAGCTCGACAGCTGTGTCGTTGAATATTGATGAATGATACATGTCTTTACTCAGTCTGCTCACAGGTGTAACACAGGCAGAAAAAAAACAGCTTCTTAGTAGTTTTCTGGATCATTTGATGGCTAAAAAATTCCAATCAACAAAAGGTCATTTGGACATTAACGATGCGTTAGCGTTGATGGACAGAAAGTTCAGCTGAGTGAAAGTGGTTGTGTTTTAACGCGCTGTACTCCATCGTTATGTGCACAGCTATGAGTGTGCTTTAATGACCTATGCAGATCATTTCTCTGTCTCCCGCCCCCCTTCCCCTTCTCGCCATTTTGCTTCCAGGAAGATATCAATTCATGAAAACAATCCCGCCGCTCCAGGTCTGCACATAACGTCCCCTCTAATCGACCTGCTGCCCTATATTTAACATCCAAGGAGTGTGACGTGGGGGGGGTTCACCTCACTCCTGACCTTTTGACCCGAGCCCTTTCCGAGCCCCGTCCAATCACACGTCATTATGACTCTGTGTGCGTCTGCCTCGCTCTGCTGCCCTGGAGACCAGAGGAGGAAATCCATAGCAAGCGTAAATGTAACCCTTAACAAACCTCCATTTCTCTTTACCTATCCAGCCCACTCTGAGTAAGACTCCCGTGTGTCCTTTATAAATGTAAGGTCTATAGTAGAAGAAGTCGTTACAAACTAACTAAATGCTGTGAAGACATGACTGTGTATAAAAAGACAAAGCCTTCTAATGTCTTGTTTTTATTTTTTATTTTAACCAAATTTGGTATTCAAACATTTCTTCACACGGAAGCTGTAGCTTTAGAGGACATGTCTATCTGTATTACAAACTGCTATACATGGGGCGGCTGTGGCTCAGTTGGTAGAGTCGGTCGTCTCTCTACCAGAAGGTCGGGGGTTCAATCCCCAGCTCCTGCAGAAACATGTCCGATGTGTCCTTAGGCATGACACTTAACCCTGAGTTGCTACCACTGCTTCGTCAGTGGCATGTGAATGTGTACAAACAGGATTAGGTAACACTTTAAATACCTGCCTCTACCGTCAGTGTGTGAATGTGTAGGTGTGACCTGCAGTGTAAAAGCACTTTGAGGAGTCAGAAGACTAGTGAAGCACAATACAAGCTCAAGTCCATTTACCATTAAAAAAAAACAACAACACAGTCTTCTCAATTATGAAATAAAGTAAATGTTACTTTAAAAAAATATATTTTTATGTTTTTCAACAGGACAACAGATTGAGGTTGTATACAGGCTGACCCTTTAGTGCTTATTTTTAAAGGCCTGATGTCAAAATAGGTTAATAAAATCTGTCTAAAGGGAGACTTAAAGGTTAAGAAGAAAGTGTTTGTGGACTTATCTGCTCGAAACATATTTCTTAGTTTAAACATCTAAAAACCCTATAAAGACAAACAGTCTATAACTCACCCCGAAGAAGCTGTGATTGAATCTTGAACTTGAATGGACTAAAGGATCGGGTTAGGGTCTGTGGTTGAGTGGTATTGGTTTGATATAAAGGTCACAAGCTTATAAAGTTAAGATCCTGTAACAAAGAAGACTGTTGCACATCACAACACAAATTCCTGTGTATCAAGTCGAATAGATTTCCAGAAATCAGGGTCCTCTCAATGATTCAGAGGAAAACTATGTGAGCTATGTCAACAAAATGTCTCCTTTAAGGATGTGTTTGTCTTAGAGGAGATTTGATAGTGAACAGCAGCTCCATCTCCATGTTGCACTAACTTTTCTTATCTTAGGTATCTGAAGATTTTCCAAGTATCAGTCCAGACGAGGAATGAGATATTGTGAAGAGAGAACAGGAGGTAACACATTAACACAGACTAAATGACGCCCCATAACTAAAAATCTAGGTCAGGGGAGAAGTGACTGCATCTGTTCATCTCCGCCAACAACTTTCTCTGTTTCCGTCATGCTTTATTCATTGTGGCACCATGGGGTTTGCAACGTAATGTAACGTCTCCAAGACACTTTTTGAACTTACAGATGTCATCTCTCAGAATAGGATGTCATATCTCGCCCTATAGGACTGTTGACACATGTCACAATGTGCGATGAGAACATTGAGTTCTGCTCAGCTTTATTTAACTTGGTGGGAGGGTTATTTTCAATACATTATTTTGTGTCAATAGATGCATAAATCTGTGTGTGTACACTTAATTCATTTTACACATGTTTGGTAATCAGTAAGAATCATCACAGGCGCTGTTTACAAATTGCCTACTATACTAGTAGTAAGTACTGATTTGGCCAAAACACAGTATGCAGTATGCCAAAATTACCCTGATGTCAAACTGATCTACAGTATGCATCAGACCAGTCTCCCACTGTTTCCCACAATACACCAGGTCAGATATCAAGTGACTGACAGTAACAGGTGAAATAATCACAATCAGACCAAACCACACAAACATACCACCAATTATCTTTTTTGGTTCTCAAAATCATCAAAAATCTGAATTAATCACTTGTCCACTTTTTTCAGACCGTCAGTGGATGCTTCACTGTAGCATCAACTAAGCAGTTACTGCTTGCATCAAATGTAGAACCCTGCTGCTCACTTACAAAACGACACCTCCTCATTTAAACTCTATCATCCAGGTCTGCACTCCCTCCCACCCACTGCGCATCAGGGCCCTTATTCTCTACCTAGACTCCTCTCTCTCTCTGTCGCCCCCCCCCCCACAAACAAACAACCAAACTCTGTTTGACCCTTTGCACCTTCAAGAAAAAGCTAAAGACCCACTTCTTTCATGAATGCCTACGCACTTAATATTGATGATGGTAACAAAATTTAGGATGGTTTTGATGCCAATCAGAACTCTAAGGAACAACTATGTTGTTGTTGTTGTTGTTGATGATGATGGTGTATTAACTGTGAATTATTAAAAAAAAAG